ACATCATTCTGCAGTGATATGCCATCCCATCCTGTTTGGGCTTAGTGGGACTATCATTTGTTTTTCAACAGGACAATGACCCAACACACCTCCAGGCTGTGTAAGGGCTATTTGACCAAGAAGGAGAGTGATGGAGTGCTGCATCAGATGACCTGGCCTCCACAATCCCCCGACCTCAACCCAATTGAGATGGTTTGGGATGAGTCGGACAGCAGAGTGAAGAAAAAGCAGCCAACAAGTGCTCAGCATATGTGGGATTTCCTTCAAGACTGTTGGAAAAGCATTCCAGGTGACGCTGGTTGAGAGAATGCCAAGAGTGTGCAAAGCTGTCATCAAGGCAAAGGGTGGCTATTTGAAGAATCTCAAATATAAAATATATTTAGATTTGTTTAACACTTTTTTGGTTACTACACGATTCCATATGTGTTATTTCATAGTGTTGATGTCTTCACTATTATTCTACAATGTAGAAAATAGTAAAAATTAAGAAAACCCCTTGAATGAGTAGGTGTGTCCAAACTTCTGACTGGTCCTGTGTGTGTGTGTGTATATATATATATATAACATTGAACTTTGTCTATGATTGAATGTATGGCACAAAGTGCCCATGACACTTGACTTTTCCCTGCAGCCCTTGCCTATTAATAGAGTACCACAATGAAAATAAGTCTCTTGATGTTTTTGTTAATGTATCCTCAACAACTTTTGTATATGTATCTGTTGCCTGGTGTAACATTTATGTATTTTAAATTGTCATATAAAATCATATTGGGAACTATCTGCCATGGTGTGTTAGGAGTGCAATATGTGTATGGAATAGGGAATATTCTATACTTCTCTAAAGCATTTTCAGAAGTATTTAGGATGGATCTTTCAAATTGTTTATTGTGTGGAAACCAGGTTAAAAATGTTTGTAAGAGCATAGCTTACTAGTAACACGTTTTTATGTTCGATTGAAACAAAATCTGATCAATAGCACACTTGAAGGAACAACTGACCATAACTGTAGTATATAGAAATGTATTTAAAAAGAAAGAAAGAAAGTGTATGACTTGGTAAGTATCATACTCATTGTGTAAATATACATATTTGACATGCATGACCCAACACACCTACATTCTAAGCTATTTTAACTGGTAATGAATTGCATCATCTCAAATAAAGAAGGAAGAGATTGATTTAGATTCATTGATCTGTCCATAGCAGGAGTTACAGGTTGCAATGTGCAGAAAGGGTAAAGGCTCAAGTAATCTCATAATTTCTCACTCCACTCACTATAAATTTTCAACTCAGCATGATCATCTAAGCCACATCACCATCATATAAGATCTCTTGTCAGACAGGGAATTTTAATAATAATAAAAAAAACGAATGTCTGCTTCAGAATAACTGCTCAAATCCTGTTTAAATAATCAGTGATTAATCATCAATAATAATGATGATTATTGACTGATAATCATGAACGGTTGATTTCAATTGACAAATTAAATTAGTCCAATGCCGTATTACAATTGAATAGACTAGCCTAGCCTACTTGTATTTCCATAATGCGTCTTGATGTTGTTATTGTTGTTGTGAGATATATGCCATACACAAGTCGCCACTATTATAAATCCACTCATTCGTTTTTGCTTCTCATGATTCCTCATTTCCGATATAATTTAGATGCAAACATTATTTTGATATTTCATAGATCTGAAATGTCGTTTTTTGTATTTTAAAACATTCATCAAACGTGCGGGAGTGAGGCCTGTATGCGAGTCCAACTCCTGACTGCTTGGTAGAAACAGCGAGACAACAGCACATCATTAGGGAAGTGTCCAAGCATGGATATACCGACACTCGAATTGTTATAAACGATTGACTATTCGAAGCATTCGCAAAATAGCCCACAATAGTCCTAAAAGTGTTTGCCGGCTATTTATTTTAGAATGACAGGATGTAGATGTTTGAGGCAGGATTTTGTCTCTATTTAGTGTTCTAACCTATAAAGAAAATCGTTGTTGCGGCCCTCACAGCCTGACGAAGGCAGCAATAGGCTGCAATACTCTGCTGGTCCTGGAGTCCTATATCTGGGCTCCTTGTCCTTCACCCTCCCCCTGAGGTGGGCTGAGGAGTCAGGAATCACGTTGTTGATGTTATTCCAGTGCGAAACAATGACAACAATGGCGCATATAAGAGCATAGGCAATTGGCCATTTATAGGATAGAAGTTACAAATTTAACACAAAATATGAACCGTTGCTGTCACTTTTCGCGCTGAAATAACATTAACAAAAGGTCCTATACTGATATAAAAAATACGGGGCATAAACCATGCAGACTAAAGCGCTTACACAGGACTACAATTGTTGCTAACAGTTTGGGTGGTTTAAATTGTAACAATTTGCGCTGTGAGCTTTTATATTTCACAGCAGTAACCAGGGACAGGATTGATATACTGGATGGTCAATATTGACTTTTAATTACAAATTGCATCCTTTTTATCACACTACTGTACCATTGTATTTGGCTACATTTAGAACTTAATGACATTGCAGTCTGGCTACAACAATGTACATTTTAGTCATTGCCAGAGCGACTTACAGGAGCAATTATTGTTAAGTGCCTTGCTCAAGGGCACATCGACAGATTTTTCACCTAGTCGGCTCGGGGATTAGAACCAGCGACCTTTCGGTTACTGGCACAACGCTCTTAACCACTAAGCTACCTGCCGCCCATGTAACAACTTAAACCCTTTGACATGGGAAAATAATAGCATAGGCTGTCTATTGGCTCCTGTCCCATATGGTAAATGTGCTCCTATTTATTATTCAGTGTATTGATGGCATAGCCTATGGTTTATGGTTTTAACCACATAGGCCTATCACGTTATGGGTAGGTATAGCCTACTATGGCTAGTGAAGATCTAACTTGTAACTCAGCTGTTGACAGACAGACCATCATCAGACAGTCAGATCAAGGCAGACAGATCATAAGTCAGACAGGCAGACCAAATATTAGACAGATGTCCCACCATCAGACAGACAGACAGATATCCAACTATCAGACAGACAGGCAGACAGATACACGCACACACCCACATAGGCTACAGCAGGAATACAGGCTAAAATTGCCATTTTCCCCAATGGAGGTGTTCAAAACAGAGCAGATAGGCTACAAGTTTTTTTCCGCGTTATCAGTTGTACTAAAGATTGAATCGTATTTTATGCTTTTTTGTGGCGGCTGCACGGAATAAATAACTGCCCGCTAAACCTCTGGAGGGAGCCTGCGCAACACACACCAACTGAACCTGAGTGTGTGTGCCGCCATGGTGACTTACGTCACACCCCGAGCACGGATGTGTGTGTTTTGAGTGTGTGTGTGTGTGTGTGTGTGTGTGTGTGTGTCTCTGTGGAGTGAGAACGTGTAGATAGATGTTCGAAAGGAGTGAGAGATAGCCTGGAAGTGTACGGAGATGCACAAGATTCGAAGAGAGTCACAACAGACAGTTCGCTATCCGATTCCTGCACGATTCACAAAGGTAGAGTCAATTTTGTGTATTTGTTGTTTATTGCACAGACTTGTCGCCGGAGTTGTTCGAGGCCACGAATTGGGCTCGAGGTGGCAGAGATCCTCGGGATGGACTCCCGCTTTTCCTCGCGCTGGCGTGGGAAATCACGCGCCATTGAGGGTTGATGTTGTGCATGCGCCTTGGTCGCCTGTGTGCATGGTCGATGCTAGGCTACATTGCGTGGCTTCGGCGGCCTCCATTTGCGAATGTATGTGCATGCTCGAAGATTATTTCGAGGCCTTTTGTTTCGACGACGGCACGCAACAGTTGGAGTTTGCTCTGTTATCATTGCTCTCCAAACAGCGCAACACACCGTACGGTGGTGGAAGGTAGGCGTCAGTGAATGTCCAACTTTTTAACTTGCTGGCTAAATATCTGGAGGCCTACAACAAGGCTTGGGGAGGACAGGACGAGGGGTGGTGTCAAGCAACTTTTATACTCGACACTGGCATGTGTTTTTGAAGAAATAGACGATTTAAAGCTCATGGAAAATAATAATGGTTTGATAGTTGAGATGGAAATATGATTTGGAATAACCATATTTAACAAATAACGGTAACACCTCCAATAAGCACTTTTATAGGCTACATGAAAGGACGTCGTGGTATTTGTATTGTTTCTGAACTGAAATTGACAAGGACATTACAGTTAATGTCATAATTGCATTTTAACCTGCACAGGAAAATATTGATGTAACGTTGGCCTAAACGTTTATCTAGGCTAATTTAGCCTAATCAGTTTAGATATAATTTTGTAACGTTTTGTAATCTAGGCCTAACAAGTAGACTAGTAACTAGGCTAATCAATTTAGTTCCTTACCGGTGGTTTAGGACCCGACTCAAGACTGTGTTATCCATCCGAACTAAAGACTATAGCAAGTTACCAATGAAGAGAGCCCAGTGAGCTGAGCAACCTTATCTGCTACACTTGAATGACACATTGCATGAATACAATGCCATTGTTCAAGAAAATACCGAAACAACTACAAGTTGATTAACAGAAAATTGATGTAACTTAACGTGTGGTGTCAGAAAAGTCCAAGCTTTTGGGATAGGCCTACTGCTTTTGGGATAGGCCTACTGCTTTTGGATGACACTAAACTTCCACTAGCCTACTTACTGTATGATAGCAGACAGTGGATATGACATAAAGGTCGAACATCTGAAAACAATGTATTTTTGATCAATTAAAATCTTATTTAATCTCCATGTTTTTCTTACATACAATTTTCACAACTAATATATATATTTTTTTAATGCAGTAATCATGAATTTAGACTTGTTAGTTGGTTCACTATCTGGCCATTGACATGAGACATCTTTCTAACATAACAACATTATTCTTTCATTATTCCAGGATGTCAACTGAAAATAACCATAGTTCAACTTGAGGTACTTAAAAAAAAAAAGTGAAGAAGAATAGTATACAACGTTTACTCTGTCTCATCTATGGAGGACCCTACTGTAATGGAGGAGGGGGTAGAGGACTTGGCCATTACTACCTCTGTCACCACATCAATCCCATTTGACAGCGTCACCATGGAGCCAGGCCTGGCCAACGAGGATGGGGTGGAGGACCAAGCTGTAGCCATGGCAGACAAGGATGCAAGCTTAACCAGCATAGCCACGGGGTCATCCACTGACACCATAACAAACACTGAAGTCAACCTAGCTATGGCATCATCCACACACAGTGAAGCTAACTTAGCAATAGCTTTTTCCACTGACGCCATTACAAACAAAGAAGCGAGTGGAACCATAGCCGTACCCATGGATAGTGGGAAAAACCCTGATGCTAAGCCAGCCAACCCACCCATAGCATCAGCATCTTCATCACCAGCTGCCACCATGACAAACAGTGGTGCCAACCCAGCCCTCCCCTCACCATTCTCATCAACTGCTGCCAGTGGCACCGCCCCCGGAGGCCTGCAGCCTGAGGAGGGAGGCCTCTCAGCGGTAAGGTCATGCGGTAGTGTGGGGGTCACTCTGGAGAACAGCAATGTCTGGAGGGAGTTCCACTGCTGTGGAACCGAGATGATCCTCACCAAACAGGGCCGGCGGATGTTTCCCTACTGCCGCTACCGCCTGACTGGTTTGGAACCAACACGCCGGTACTCCCTGGTCCTGTCAATCACCCCCGTCGACACATACCGCCATCGCTGGAACCTGAAGGAGTGGGAACCCAGTGGTCCTGGAGAACCACACACCCAGGCCTCATGCCGACTCTTCCCCCACCAGGACTCATCAGCCCTGGGGAAGGTCTGGATGGCCAGCCTGGTCTCCTTCTATAAACTCAAACTGACTAACCACTTCCTGGACCAGGAGGGGCATGTGTTGCTGCACTCCATGCACCGCTACAGGCCCAGTTTACACGTGATCCCCGTCGCAGATGGAGACGACCTTGGCTTTGACCCTAAGCTGCTTGACCTCCAGCTCCTCAGCCCAGAGGTCATGACATTCACGTTCCCGCAAACCGAGTTCTATGCCGTGACGTCGTACCAGAACACCAGGATCACCCAGCTGAAGATAGATTATAACCCCTTTGCTAAGGGCTTCCGGGAGGACAGCGGCAGCCTGCGCCTCGCGAAGCCCAGGCCGGAGCAGCCTCAGGCGGGGAAGGGAGATACCCGCTCCCCTGGTCGTAGCTCTGCTAGGCCCAATGGTGGTGAGGGGACTGAGCAGATTGTGACTGTAAACGATGTGGCGGCTGATATCAGGTGAGTGAAGCCTTCTGTTATCGTGTTGTACTGTAATTCAGCAGTTTTTCTTACAGTTCACTGAATGTTAGTGTTTTACTGTTGCTATTCAGTTTTTCATTCATTCTTGACACACCGATAAAAAAAAATATATTTTTCATCTGAATTCCCCCCCTCATTGTCTTGTAGCATGAAGAAACGTTCTCTCCCTACAACTCACCCTGTCGGGGCTGAAGTCTCAGGGAAGTTGAGGAAAGTAGCTCCTGGTACAGGCCCTACAGCAGATTCAGACGCCAACCAGACTGATGTGTCTGCCAGTGAGGAGGGGATGGATCTGGACGACAGTGACAGTGACCACGTCTTCCACAGGCAGTACCTCCGAGCCCAGCTAGCCCTGCCCTCAGGAGCCTCCAGGCCTGAGAACAGCCCGGGGGCTGGGGGGGAGAGACTGGGAGCTGGGATGGACCCCTCCATACAGGCCAGCCTGACTGCTAACCCTCAGATTTCTACACAGTCTGCTGTGTTACATACCAACAGCTGTTCAAAGCCTTTAAAACCTTCCACTGTAGAACCAATGGAGTCTGAGGTTCCGTCCTCACAGAAGGTTCCGCTTATAGAACCAACCATGACAGCACCCATTTTGCTAACAGAAACTCAGGAGGACAAGGCTGTGAGCTTAACCCCTAAAACATCCAAACCTCAAAAGATTGCACCCAAGCCTTCTCCTTCTACCCCCTCACCTCTGACCCCCACCGTGTCCCCCTTTGCCGTCCCTAAGCCATGGAAGAAGGGGCGTAAACCGGGGGGCAATCGGTGGGGCAGTGCCGGAAAAGTCTTTAAGGGGACTAAGGCGGCGACAGCAGCTGTCACTGCAACCAGCAGCCCGGTACCTGTTGCTATGCAACCGGAACTGGATGACGTGGAGGGTCTACTTTTTGTGTCCTTCACTTCCAAGGTAAAACATGACACTTGTGTGCGGTCAGAGTTATGGGAAATAGGAATTTCAGACATCCAGAAATGTTAATTTAGAAACCCCTGAGTCGGAAATATAGGTGGGAAACTTTGATTATCTTTGCTGAAGCTGCAGACAGTATTGACAAGGTAATATATTCCTCTGTGTCACAGGAAGCTCTTGGTGTCCATGTGGAGGACATGCCATCCAATAACACGTCACCAGTCACTCAGGCACAGCCAGAGAGAACTGGTAAGGGGGAGCGAAGAAGTTCTATTCTACTGGGGCTTGTCAATTACAGTGTACTTGGCAACAAGACCCGCTGGAGAGACACAGAATAGAACATGAACATCCACTGTTATTTTCATTGATTGGCATTCACAATACAGCATGCGTCTCTTGAAAGACTCTCCAATAATGATGACACTATTCTATTATTTTCTAACCTGTGTGTGTGTGTGTGTGTGTGTGTGTGTGTGAGCAATAGTGGAGAGTGTTGAGGAGAAGATCGCAGGTCTGCAGACTATCCTACTGCAAGACCTGAAATCACTCAAACACAGACAGGTCATCCACCCTGTCCTACAGGAGGGTGAGTGGACAACGCACACTCTGTATTTCTCTCTTCCTCTTACTCCTTCTCCCTCTGCATCTCTCACCACACAAACCTACCAGTCTCTGTCCAAAGAGAGTTAGATATTTCACAGTAATGTCCACCATTGATAACCCTAACTCTTGTGTGTTATTCCCCCTGCCTATAGTTGGTCTGAAGTTGAGCTCCCTGGACCCAGGCCTGGCCATCGATCTACAGTATCTGGGGGTGCGTCTACCGCTGCCTCTCCCTGTGTTCACTGGGCTGGGCAACGCTACCTCCACTGGTGAGTCACACTAAGTGATGGGTAATTTACTAGCAATGTAGGCCACATACAGTGGTTGTTTCTGATAGTGGATGAAAGTCATATCTCAAAGCTCTCCAGTGATCATGAAATGGGATACCAACACAATACCTATTATTTACTTTCACTGTTTTATTATTCTCAGCTGAGTATATCCATAGGTAGCGGCCCTAGGGATGTTGTCATAGTTGCCAACAAGGGAACGTATTAATAGACATGTTATTTTTGCCTGATTGAGAAATGTGAATGCATAGCCTAGTAGTAAATTAATTACACTTGAAAGATGATAGCGGTTTTTCAATTGCATGGCTCAGCTAGTTTAATGCATCAGAGTCACTGAGCACTTAATAGGCAGTTTACTGTCATCATCCACATTTCATTGAACCCCCTCGTCAGTCAGGCAGATAATAAGGCAAGGCAATTACGGGATTTACACCAACTTAAACACTCAGAATTAGCCCTAGTAATGTGACTTCCTCCACTGTTGTACTGTGGTAGAATGGGGGGGAGTTAATTATTTGAGGTTAATGTTTGGTCTTATAATAACTCCCAAACCCCAACCCTGTCAGTATTTGCATTTCTGAAGGGACTTGATAAGTGCAAGATAATGATGGCTCTACTTAGTCTCCAAAAACCAAAGAGGTAGAGGCTAGGTGAAGGGTCTAGAGGTGATTTGGAATTGGGCCCGTATCTCTTCTCTAACGGCCTTGTCTCCTCTCTGTGCAGATGGAAGCAGGTCCTTTGTCTCCAGGACGGGGAAGACCAGTGACCTGACCAAGATCAAGGGCTGGAGGGACAAGTTCATTAGAATCAAAGAGTCCTCTAAGAACCACAACCCCAACCGCTCGGCCTTCTGCAGCGAAATGCTCGACCAATACCTGGAGAGCGAGGCCCAGCGAATCAGCGACCGCGCTGCTGCCTTCTCCCACAACCCCCTGGGCTCCGTGGCCTATCAGCTGCCTGTGACCAGCACCAGCTACGTGCGAACCCTCGACAGCGTTCTGAAGACACGCGCCCCCCCGCCCCCCGCCTTCTGTAGACCCTGCCCCCTCTCTCGGAAACCCCTCCTCTACGCCGCTCTAAAGAAACCCCCTCCACCCATCAACAACCACAGGACCCCTCCTAAAGCAGCCAAACCCAAACCCACACCAACACATAGCAAACAGCACCATATAACACCACCACATGGCAAACAGCACCATATAACACCACCACATGGCAAACAGCACCATATAACACCACCACATGGCAAACAGCACCATATAACACCAGCACAGGGCAAAGCCAGATCTGCCTCTGTGCTACGGCCCATCCAGGTCACCAACAGTAACAAAACTACTACTGCTAAAGCTTCAGCTGGGGTTAAAGTCACCAGCCCTCCTACTGCGCAAAGGTAAGGAAATGCCACTGAAGACATGTTAGACCCATGCCAAGTCATACAGTTTACACATCTCTATATTTGTTGTTGTCCCAAAGCATGTTTTCATAGGATGTTATGTAGATATTTGGGATTGAGTCTGTCTAATATAAGCCTACAGCAAGTTTGATTTTTTTACCCTAAAATGGACAAAACATTTTCCTCGTACCTCTAGGTCTCCTCCAGGTCAGGGGGCAGTGAGGAGGGACACCAGCCCAGGAGGAGGCCTCTCCAACGGGTTGACTGGCCTATCTAAGAACCAGCTCAGACTGGTTGGTCTCTCTAAGATCCAGCTGAGAATGATGGAGATGGAGGATGCCACCTTCTACCAAGGACATGACAGAACACACATCACTACCGAGAGGGTGGAGAGAGCCCTGATGGCACTGCTCACTGCGCAGGTAGGACTGAGATCATACACACACACACACACACACACTACGCGCACACACATTTTCTGATGGTCTCTCTCCTCATTGTCTGTGCCTTCCAGGGTCTTCCTAAGAGCCGTGCCCCCCAGGCCAGCCTAGTGGACGGTCCAGAGTGTGGTTCTGAGTTCTGCAGACTGGGGTGTGTGTGTTCCAGCCTGGCCCGGGTGTCCAGGGGTCCACTCCACTGCTACAGGCCAGACTGTATGTTGGGCTGCTCCTGCTTTAAACGCAAGATCACCAAACGGACCACAGCAGCAGAGAACAACCAGCACCAGACACTGCCTGTTTACAGTAAGTTCATACCCAGGGTGCATTTGGGGACTTGAGAGTTGTATTCTATTCTTTATTGACCAAATGAATGACACATTACACATCAACTTGAGCAAACTAATGAAAGAGTCTTCTCCTCCTCTCCCTGCCCAGCGGTGTCTAACGTGGCGCATGAGGTCCAGCCCAATCGAGGCATCCGTGTCTCTACCCTGTGGGACTACACCTCGGGGGTGGACCCCGAACCTCTCTTCACCCCGAAACCTGCCCCCAACATACCCATCAAGCCTCTAACCAAGATCTACAACCCTGGTCCCAAGCGCTACATACCTCGTCTCACCCCCGAGGTAAATGCCTCTGTCATAGTACACTATGGGGCCTGGTAGTGCACTATGCAGGGAATGGGGTGACATTTGTGAAACATCCTTCCTATGTCATACTACCACCCTAAATTACTCATCAACTGTAGTGATATGATGGAAACCTTGATTTGACAAAAGCTGTATATGAAAAGGAGATGAGTGAGTGTGTGTGTTCTCTGCAGCTGCGAGAGGAGGACAAGGACCCAGTCTACAAGTACTTTGAGAGTATGATGACGTGCGCCCGCGTCAGAGAGTTCAACAGTAAACCCCCGCCCCAGGTGCTGCCGCCACAGGTCCACCTCTTTAAGGACAGTAATAGTTCCATCATCCCCAGCAGCAGAAAGGTGAGGCACAGGACACACACACAAAATATTTATTGTCGGAGTAGATGCATTAATAATAATAATAATATGCCATTTAGCAGACGCTTTTATCCAAAGCGACTTACAGTCATGCTTGCATACATTTTTGTGTATGGGTGGTCCCGGGGATCGAACCCACTACCTTGGCGTTACAAGCGCCGTGCTCTACCAGCTGAGCTACAGAGGACCGCATTAAGGAGTGTGATCGACTGGTCGATCGATCTTCAAGGCATTCTTAGTCAAACGGCGAACATTTCTGTAGAAAAGCCAATGATAAAGCCTTGCGCTCCTATAATTTTTTTCCGGTCTTGCGCTGTTGGCGGTAGGTGCACTTGATTAAGAAGCCCTGTTGGCGGTAGGTGCACTTGATTAAGAAGCCCTGTTGGCGGTAGGTGCACTTGATTCAGAAGCCCTGCGTGCCGGGTAGGCAAAGTGTTCCCATTTTGAACCATTTTAATTTGTCTGAAGGGACAAACTCCGCCTACCCGGCAGACCAGGAGCGCTGTGGCTAAATCAAATCAAATCGCACTGTGTGCCTACTGTGCTGGCCAATCGGATAGCTCAAATGACTGTGCCTACAGCTTCCATGACCCCACAGCAAAGTTTGATGCTAGCCTAGGTGAGATTTCATAACTTTTAAAACCATGACCAAAGAGAGACTGTCAAAGAATACAGCAAAGAGCTGCTGTTTTTATGAGTGAGTTCATGTTTAAGTTTTTATTCAACACTGTTTTTATTCAACACTTTTTTACAAAACATAAAACACGCTTCTCCCTACTTCTACTCGCGCTGCAGCCAAGTGTATCGATAGCCCTGCGTTTTTATTATCATTAGCAGCTCGTCGTGTCTATTTTCATATCAAGGAATATTTCACTTTCCCTGGTCATAGGAACAATATGAATTTCTGCATGAGGCAGATGCGGTGAGACTCCATCATCAGGTGGAAGACGGTGTCCCCTCTCTCTGGTCAGTCTCACCGGAGGAAAGGAGAGAGCAGGGACCGTGAGAGGCGGACCCTATGCTGCTCTCTCCCTCCCTCCGCTGAGACTGACCATCAGATGCAGGTACCATCAGTCCAGTAAAATAAAACATGATTTACATTTATGCTCCGCTGTGCCTCACAAGTGATACACCAACTGATCTATTTTGTTATCAAAGCTCGAGTTTTGAAATATAATATGGTCTGAGAATAACAATATTGGCAGATCAAGCATAGAGCCAATATGCTGTGATAATGTATTAGGCCTACTGCACAAACCCCATTCTTACAGCACTGTTTTTATGAGGTTAATGTTGCATAGACTTACATTTTTTAAAAGTCATGTTTAAAATAAATTCTGAGCGGTAGATCTCGGCTTGCATTTTGACTGCGAAAGTGATCTTGACTCAGAAAAAGGTTGGTGACCACTGATTTAGGAAGTTAATCTAGCCACTAGAGGCAGACAAACATTTTGCTATGGAAGAGGAGTAACAAAGCTAGTCTATCCTGGTCATGTAAAAGTGAGCCCCTCTCAGTTAATGTCATTTATTAATTTTCTTGTCTTTGCAGAAAATTATTGCTGCCATCCTCTCACCTCCAAATAAACCAGGTAAGATGGAACACAGAATCACTGCTCACCACAGTTCTTAAGAGGCTATTCAAGATGTTATGTTTTAATCTGTTGACCCCTAAAACCCTTAACCTGTGAAATCTGACCTTTCCCCCGTAGTAGTACGAGGGAAAAGTCCTTCCACCCAGGCCAAGAAGCCTAAAGGTTCTGAGCCCACCAGGCAGCTGGAGATCCAGTCAGAGTGTAACTGGGACCAGCACCGGAAACTGGTCCTGGGGGTTCTGTGTCGACGCATGACCCAGAACCGTCTGTCTGAACCCTTCAACATTGGCCCCTACCATGTCCGCCTCCTCTCCAACACACACACACGCAAGGCTGAGGGCACCATCATCATATTCAAGGTAGGGGGGATAATAACCATTAGAATAAAGCAATAAACATGCCGTTTCCGTCTTAAAGAAGCAGTTATTTGGACCAACTCATGCTGTCATACACATAATGTTCAGAATTGCTCTATGTTTCAGATTTAAAATGCATAATTTGATCAGTGCATAGAATCTCGATCAGTGACAAGTTGATGCTCAGGAGTGTGATTTACAGTGCTTTGCAAAAGTATTCATCCCCCTTGGCGTTTTTCCTATTTTGTTACATTACAACCTGTAATTTAAATGGATTTTTTATTTGGATTTCATGTAATGGACATACACAAAATAGTCCAAATTGGTGAAGTGGAATGAAAAAAAGAACACATAAATAACGGAAAAGTGGTGCGTGCATATGTATTCACCCCCTTTGCTATGAAGCCAATAAATAAGATCTGGTGCAACCAATTACCTTCAGAAGTCACATAATTATTTAAATAAAGTCCACCTGTGTGCAATCTAAGTGTCACATGATCTGTCACATGATCTCAGTATATATGCACCTGTTCTGAAAGGCCCCAGAGTCTGCAACACCACTAAGCAAGGGGCACCACCAAGCAAGCGGCACCGTGAAGACCAAGGAGCTCTTCAAACAGATCAGGGACAAAGTTGTGGAGAAGTACACATCAGGGTTGGGTTATAAAAAAATATCAGAAACTTTGAACATCCCACGGAGCACTATTAAATCCATTATAAAAACATTTGAAAGAATATGGCACCACAACAAACCTGCCAAGAGAGTGTCGCCCACCAAAACTCACGGACCAGGCAAGAAGGGCATTAATCAGAGAGGCAACAAAGAGACCAAAGATAACCCTGAAGGAGCTGCAAAGCTCCACAGCGGAGATTGGCGTATCTGTCCATAGAACCACTTTAAGCCGTACACTCCACAGAGCTGGGCTTTACAGCAGAGTGGTCAGAAAAAAGCCATTGCTTAAAGAAAAAAAGAAGCAAACACGTTTGGTGTACGCCAAAAGGTATGTGGGAGACTCACCAAACATATGGAAGAAGGTACTCTGGTCAAATGAGACTAAAATTGAGCTTTTTGGCCATCAAGGAAAACATTATGTCTGGCGCAAACCCAACACCTCTCATCACCCCGAGAACACCATCCCCACAGTGAAGCATGGTGGTGGCAGCATCATGCTGTGGGGATGTTTTTCATCGGCAGGGACTGGGAAACTGGTCAGAATTGAAGGAATGATGGATGGCGCTAAGTACAGGGAAATTCTTGAGGGAAACCTGTTTCAGTCTTCCAGAGATTTGAGACTGGGACGGAGGTTCACCTTCCAGCAGCACAATGACCCTAAGTATACTGCTAAAGCAACACTCGAGTGGTTTAAGTGGAAACATTAAAATGTCTTGGGATGGCCTAGTCAAAGCCCAGACCTCAATCCAGTTGAGAATCTGTGGTATGACTTAAATATTGCTGTACACCAGCGGAACCCATCCAACTTGAAGGAGCTGGAGCAGTTTTGCCTTGAAGAATGGGCAAAAATCCCAGTGGCTAGATGTGCCAAGTTTATACAGACATACCCAAAGAGACTTGCAGCTGTAATTGCTGCAAAAGGTGGCTTTACAAAGTATTGACTTTGGGTGTGGTGAATAGTTATGTACGCTCAAGTTTTCCTTTTTTTGTCTTATTTCTTGTTCGTTTCACTCCCCAAAATATTTTGCATCTTCAAAGTGGTAGGCATGTTGTGTAACTCAAATGATACAAACCCCCCCAAAATCCATTTTAATCCCAGGTTAAGGCAACAAAATAGGAAAAATGCCAAGGGGGGTGAATACTTTCGCAAGCCACTGTATTATCATCCACTTCCTTACTTCAAGGTCTGCATCAGTAAGGCTGAAGACGACGATACCGATGATAGTGATGAATCCGATGGTGAAGTCACAGACAACAGTAGTGACGACAGTGATGAAGATGAGGAGGAAGAGGGCATCCCTAAGCCTGATCCTGAGGAGCCAGAGATGCAGGTCGGAGTGACTCCCTTCCTGACTGGAGTAGTGCCAGCAGGCAGACTGAAAGCCAGGAAGAAACAACCAACCTGTCCTGCTGTAGGACTCATCCAGGTGGGCTTATTAGGTTCACTTTACCTCGATTTTGGACATTTTAAATCCATTTTTGAAACGAGACCTAGCCATAAAGTGTAGTTTGTAGTGTTTTTTTTTTTGTTATTGAGGAGCTCCAAGTTATTTCTAATTTAACAATTTTACCTAGATTTTGTGAAAATCTCAATCCTCTAAAGGGAACCTGTTCTTTATGTTAATCTGTTCTGCTTAAATTCTCTCCATTCTTTCTCTTCTCTCTTTCTCTTTCTATCTTCCTCCCCAGGTGAACGGTAAATCCTACTCCCAGGCCAGGCTGCTGCTGGGGCAGATGGGAGCTCTGCACCCGGCCAATCGGCTAGCTGCGTTCGTCACCGGCAGGTTGCGCTCTGTAGCCAAGGCCCCTCAGAAGGCCTCTCAAAAGCCTCTCAACTGCTTCCCCAGGGCGAAGAAAACACCTGTAGGTGCTGGGCACTTGAAGACAGCAGCCACTGCTGTTGCTCCTCAAGGCAGTAGTAGTGTTACAGCTATGGCTATGGCCCAGAAAGTATTCCAGACACCAGCAGGTAAGATCCTTTCACTGCTCCTCAATAGAGGCTTGAAGTAGAAGTTATATAATATAATAATATGCCATTTAGCAGACGCTTTTATCCAAAGCGACTTACAGTCATGCGTGCATACATTTTTACGTATGGGTGGCCCCGGGGATCGAATCCAGTACCTTGGCGTTACAAGCGCCATGCTCTACCAATTGAGCTACAGAGGACCACAACATAACCTTACTGCAACACTTGTACATTTTGTTGTATTGTATTAATTATGATGTAATTAGACAGTTGAGTAACCGAAGCCTGATGGTTCAAGGATGGCTATAGTTCTGTATTATCTCAGAAAAGGCCTCTCTTTCTTACACTGTCACTGCTGTCTGTTTCCAGGGAAGAACAGGCTTCCTCCGTACAGACCACCATGGTCCCTAGGTGTCACCAAATCTAAAGGTAAAACCTCCACCAGTCAAACCACCACAGACCCTAAAGACTCAGCCGGCTCTCCCCAGCTCCTGGTCCCCATGGCCCCTCCTCCTGCCCCAGGCACCTCCCAGTGCTCGCCCCCTGGTGTGTCGCCCCCTGCTGGAAAGAAGATGCTACTACAGACAGTCTCTTCCTCCCAGGGCTGTAAAATGTATCGTCAGCCCAACGGACAGTTGATCAAGCTGGTACCTCTGAATCAGATGCGTCACATAAAGGCAAATAATCAAGACAAGACCCCTCGTGAGTTCATGTACTGATGAATGTACACACACACACACACACACACACAACCACATCCTCAACACCCTCTTGATATCTTGTGTTGTCCCAACAGGTTCTGCTACTAAGCCGTCCACCCACAAGACACTCCCCCCTCCCCCTCCTCTCACCTCCTCACGCCCCCCTCGCAGCCCCCCTCCCCACGCTCCCCTCATCAAATTCATCATGGGCCAGTTGGGTGCCATCACCCCATCCCAGACCACCTCTTCTTCCTCCCCCTTGTCTCTCACTGTCTCCTCCTCCCTGAAGACCCCCAGCTTCCTGGGCCAGACTGGGACCTACTCCTTCAGGATCTGTCCTCCGACTGCAGGGGACCAGGGCTCCAAGGGTCTAGGCCAGGGCACCGTGGGAGGCCCAGCTGGAGTGTCCCTGCCTGGTGGCTTCACCCTCATCCAGCTCCCTAAGCCTGGAGGTACTGGAGGAGGTGCTCCCCGGCTACCTGAACTAATCAGAACCACAGCCGTGGGTGACACGGTAGCAGCCTTAGCTTCACAACAAGAAGGGCATCGTCTGGAGACCCAATCATCCTCTGGACCTGGAGGGGTAAAGGTACAGAAGAACCAGAGAGGAACCTCTTCTTCCTCTCCCTTGCCTCTAGCATTGACACCAGTTAAAACAGAAGACCACTCCTACACCCCAGGGTTAAATACCAATACATCTGACTCCAGATCAGCTCTAGCCCAGAAAAAACTGAGTCTAACTCAGCCAAAGGGCTTTAAATCTGACCGTAGATCAGCCAAATCCAACACCTCTTGTCCTGTGGAGCCCAATGAGCTGACCTGTGATGAGCAGATGCTGTCGGACGAGAGTGATGCAGAGAGAGGGGAGGTGGGGGAGAGAGGGGAGGTGGGGGAGGGCTCGGGACTATGGAGCCCAGAATCATGGAAGAAAGACACTGAGTTCAGCAGGTTTACCACTCTAAGAATGCATGAGAACGGACATCCTGATTTTAAGGTCGAGGACTCTGATTCAGATTCGGACGACTCCTCGGACGACTCCTCGGACGACTCGGATTCCGACAGTGATAAATACGCCAACGTAAGCGAGCTTAATTTTTGATGGTTTGATTTTAGTAATTATTGTATTCTGTGTAAACGTTCGCTGCAGTTGCACTTGGTTGAGTTGTGGTGTAGTGTTTTGTAAAGCCAGATTGTGTTGTCTCACCCCAGGAGGATGAGGAGGAAGCGGTGGACATCGAAACGGTGGAGGAGAGGAGACAGGGAATCACCATCGCTCAGATGAGGGCCACTGTCAAACACACACAGTAAGACTGTAGTGTGTGTGTGTGTAGGCTATTTAGCTGGATGATTTTGCGTGAGACACTCTCAAGGAAGCTGGGGTTCAAGTAAAGGTTTTTACATGTTTGTCTGAAATTAATATTTTTCCCTAACAGAAAAAACAGTCAGGATGGGGAAACGGCACCAAAACCAAAAGAAAAGGTAAGACCTCTCCCATCTGTCCATTATAACTTCAGAGCGACATCTTGTTTTGTAGTATTCTTAGGCACTCTTTTACAGAGCTGTCTAATTAAGGTCTCTCATGTATGGCAAAAAACATAGTTTAAAGGGGAATGGTAACACTAGGCTTTAGACCACCAGCTAACTGGAACTGTAAATTGCCCTATTGGCATTATTGCATCACTGGCAGGATTTTCAAAAAATGTCTGAATCCCAAAACTGGCTGAAAGACCATGAACTCTGCGTGCATTGAGCTAAATTTGCTGGTGTCGAACCATAAATGAGACCATATTTTGAAAGCTGAGAAACGGCCCTTTCAAATGATATGACATACAATAGCATCACAGCGGCTGCTGATTGGCTGAATACCCGGGGCGCAAGGTGGTTGGAGTTGTCAACAAAGCAGCATGACAGAAAATATGATGCCAAGTTTTCGAACTACTGATAGTATCTTTAAGATATATCAAGGGATCTATGCATTTCTAACAACTGCATAAATACACCTATTTCACTTTTGCATGTCAAAAACTGAATGACCACTGCTGCACATGCTGCCACTGTTTTGAACGGATTAGATTATACTATTTAGAATGAGCAGCCAGCTCACGAAAGAACGAGTGCACAAGGATAGCTAACTAACATAATGTCACAAAGCATGATGCGCTAGCCAGTTAACTTTCATTCTGAAATAACTTCATATTTCTGAGTTAGATATTAGTTTAGAAAGACTTGAAATTGGCATGGGAGCTAACTAACTAGCTAGCAAGCTACCAGCGAGCTATAGCTAGCTAGCTGCTTATCAAAGGTAGATGGCTAACTGGTTAATTTGACAACAAAATCGACCAAAATTTTTTTTATGTTTCTGTAGCTGACTAATTCATTTGATCATGCTTTGTGATACACCCGGTTGTATGCTGTTTTAGTCCCCACATGTCGCCCTGTCACCTACAGCAGAACCTTATAAACAACATCAGGGGGAAACAATCAAAATGGCCATGCTTGTTGTCCTACCAGATCCGCGATGAGAAGGTTCTAGCTAGTGTATCCCTCTGTCCTTCGACTCTTGTTAGATGTAGTTGTCTGTTAGCATGACCTATGCGCCCACGTAGGCGGAGATGGCACTTACTGAGGGGCAGAGTAGTAACTGAATTGCTTGTTTTTAACAATATATTTTTAACCTAAATGTACACATTTACTGTACTTTTATGAGCATTTAAAACATAATCCATGAATGATATATACAGTGGGGAGAATAAGTATTTGATACACTGCCGATTTTGCAGGTTTTCCTACTTACAAAGCATGTAGAGGTCTGTAATTTTTATCATAGGTACACTTCAACTGTGAGAGACGGAATCTAAAACAAAAATCCAGAAAATCACATTGTATGATTTTTAAGTAATTAATTTGCATTTTATTGCATGACATAAGTATTTGATACATCAGAAAAGCAAAACTTAATATTTGGTACAGAAACCTTTGTTTGCAATTACAGAGATCATATGTTTCCTGTAGGTCTTGACCAGGTTTGCACACACTGCAGCGGGGATTTTGGCCCACTCCTCCATACAGACCTTCTCCAGATCCTTCAGGTTTCGGGGCTGTCGCTGGACAATACGGACTTTCAGCTGCCTCCAAAGATTTTATATTGGGTTCAGGTCTGGAGACTGGCTAGGCCACTCCAGGACCTTGAGATGCTTCTTACGGAGCCACTCCTTAGTTGCCCTGGCTGTGTGTTTCGGGTCGTTGTCATGCTGGAAGACCCAGCCACGACCCATCTTCAATGCTCTTACTGAGGGAAGGAGGTTGTTGGCCAAGATCTCGCGATACATGGCCCCATTCATCCTCCCCTCAATACGGTGCAGTCGTCCTGTCCCCTTTGCTGAAAAGCATCCCCAAAGAATGTTTCCACCTCCATGCTTCACGGTTGGGATGGTGTTCTTGGGGTTGTACTCATCCTTCTTCCTCCTAACACGGCGAGTGGAGTTTAGACCAAAAAGCTCAATTTTTGTCTCATCAGACCACATGACCTTCTCCCATTCCTCCTCTGGATCATCCAGATGATCATTGGCACACTTCAGACGGGCCTGGACATGCGCTGGCTTGAGCAGGGGGACCTTGCGTGCACTGCAGGATTTTAATCCATGACGGCGTAGTGTGTTACTAATGGTTTTCTTTGAGACTGTGGTCCCAGCTCTCTTCAGGTCATTGACCAGGTCCTGCCGTGTAGTTCTGGGCTGATCCCTCACCTTCCTCATGATCATTGATGCCCCACGAGGTGAGATCTTGCATGGAGCCCCATACTGAGGGTGATTGACCGTCATCTTGTACTTCTTCCATTTTCGAATAATTGCGCCAACAGTTGTTGCCTTCTCACCAAGCTGCTTGCCTATTGTCCTGTAGCCCACTCCAGCCTTGTGCAGGTCTACAATTTTATCCCTGATGTCCTTACACAGCTCTCTGGTCTTGGCCATTGTGGAGAGGTTGGAGTCTGTTTGATTGAGTGTGTGGACAGGTGTCTTTTATACGGGTAACGAGTTCAAACAGGTGCAGTTAATACAGGTAATGAGTGGGGAACAGGAGGGCTTCTTAAAGAAAAACTAACAGGTCTGTGAGAGCCGGAATTCTTACTGGTTGGTAGGTGATCAAATACTTATGTCATGCAATAAAATGCAAATTAATTACTTAAAAATCATACAATGTGATTTTCTGGATTTCTGTTTTAGATTCCGTCTCTCACAGTTTAAGTGCACCTATGATCAAAATTACAGACCTCTACATGCTTTGTAAGTAGGAAAACCTGCAAAATCGGCAGTGTATCAAATACTTGTTCTCCCCACTGTATATATATATTACATTTTTTATTTTAAAGACCATGTTTTTTTGGGGGGGACCAATCACAAGTGGGGCGCCGCCCCTAACACTCTTATGGGCGAACTTCCGCTGCCACATCAAACAAATGGTAATCAAGAAAAAAGATCAGTGAAAAGATCTTGTATGAAAATCAACCAAAAAAATACCCAAACAATTTCCATTTACACAACTTCCTAATGAAGATAGAAAATACCTTAGAGCATATTAAGTCTTCCTTGTTTTGTAAAGATTGAAAATCTCAAATCAGAATAGTAATACCTTTCACTGTGAATGAGTTACAGCCGTTTTAGGGAACGGTGGTCTTTTTCTAGAATTCTATGGAATGTTCTGTTATCAGATACTTTCTTATATGGATTGTATATTAAACACCGATCTGCACCAAAACATATTACAAATGGCATTTAGTATTAAATATTATAAGGAAAGACATGCACAAGTAATATAATATTAATAAATCAATAACTTTATTGAAATAACTTTGAGGGGAGTCCATCGTCTCACTCAAGCCTGAAAACAAAGTGCAAGTTACATAGAAAATTGGAATTACAAAATATAAGAATAAGGCATATAATAACAATAATTGGCTTTTAGAACTTCAATTTCTTCTATACATACATTCCGCTAGGCCTATAGCCTAATACAGAGTCAAAATGGGAGCAAATTAAAAGTATGCAAGAGAGGCAAAATGACAAGTGACAATCTGAGCTACTGGGTGAAGACTAGCAGACCAAAATCCCACTAATTTACCATTTCTGCATTTTGATACCAGCTTTTTTGGATATCTGAAAGGGGTAGGAGGTAAAAAACATGGAAAAATAAAAGTCACCTAAAGAACTAGTCATGATTCCTGTAGTATTTTCAGACCCCGTAACCAAAATACATGTATTGGGTTCTGGATGAATGGTACTCTCCTTTTTTGCAGGTAAATTCATTAACACATGCATTGTTTAACTACTCCCTAATTTGAACTGCAAACAGCACCCATGGTTTAATAACACTCCCCACCCCTCCCAATTTGCCAGTTACCCACTGATATGTATAAAAGGGGTATACCTGCAAATAAGGGACTGTTTAAATATAAACGCAACAATGTCAAAGATTTTACTGAGTTACAGTTCATATAAGGAAATCAGACAATTGAAATATATTAATTAGGCCCTAATCTATGGATTTCACATGAATGGGAATACAGATATGCATCTGTTGGTCACAGATAATTTTTTTTTAAAAGGTAGGGGCGTGGATCAGAACCAGTCAGTATCTGGTGTGACCACCATTTGCCTCATGCAGCGTTGTCCCACTCCTCTTCAATGCCTGTGCAAAGTTGCTGGATATTGGCGGGAAATTGATTTTATTTATTTAACCTTTATTTAACCAGGTAAGCCAGTTGAGAACAAGTTCTCATTTACAACTGCGACCTGGCCAAGATAAAGCAAAGCAGTGCGATTAAAAACAACAACACAGAGTTACATATGGGGTAAAACAAAACATAAAGTCAAAAAATACAACAGAAAACATATATACAGTGTGTGCAAATGTAGCAAGTTATGGAGGTAAGGCAATAAATAGGCCATAGTGCAAAATAATTACAATTAGTATTAACACTGGATTGATAGATGTGCAAGAGATGATGTGCAAATAGAGATACTGGGGTGCAAATGAGCAAAATAAATAATATGGGGATGAGGTAGTTGGGTGGGCTAATTTCAGATGGGCTGTGTACAGGTGCAGTGATCGGTAAGGTGCTCTGACAACTGATGCTTAAAGTTAGTGAGGGAGATAAGAGTACCCTGTCGTACGCGTCAATCCAGAGCATCCCAAACATGCTCAATTGGTTACATGTCTGGTGAGTATGCAGGCCATGGAAGAACTGGGACATTCTCAGTTTCCAGGAATTGTGTACAGATCTAGACATGGGGCCGTGCATTATCATGCTGAAACATGAGGTGATGGCGGCAGATGAATGGCACGACAATGGGCCTCAGGATCTCGTCATGGTATCTCTGTGCATTCAAATTGCCATTGATAAAATGCAATTGTGTTCGTTATCCCTAGCTTATGCCTGCCCATACCATAACCCCACCGCCACCATGGGGCACTCTGTTCACAACGTTGACATCAGCAAACCGCCCGCCCACACGACGCCATACACGCTATCTGCCCGGGATATAGTTGAAACCGGGATTAATCCGTGAAGAGCACACTTCTCCAGCGTGCCAGTGGCCATCGAAGGTGAGCATTCGCCCCCACTTAAGTCAGTTAAGACGCCAAACTGCAGTCAAGTCAAGACCCTGGTGAGGACGACGAGCACGCAGATGAGCTTCCCTGAGACTGTTTCTGACAGTTTGTGTAGAAATTCTTCGGTTGTGCAAACCCACAGCTTCATCAGCTGTCCGGGTGGCTGGTCTCAGACGATCCCACAGGTGACGAAGCCATATGTGGAGGTCCTGGGCTGGCGTGGTTACAAATTGTCAATATGATAATTTTCTTTTGTACAGTTATCAAAGACAACATTAACATCAAAAAGACAAGACGAGAAGGGCGAAATCAATCAATTAGCTAGCTAGCTACCTTGCCTCGTTTTAGCTGACTGTCTACTCGGCGTGTTATCAAAAGTTCAAGTCACATACTCATCAATCGGGAAAAATACTCAAAAATGTAAATATTATAATTACCAACAGAAAAAAAAATCGTATACAATTTCTTACCTTAATATTGTTGTCCTGATCTCAATGACAAAGCTGTCAAAGTTGTGAGAAACCTTTCAGTTCCAGTGGAGGTGAGCCACATCCAGGTGGCAGCATTCACTTTCTGTCCCCTGCCAAAACTCACAATTTGCTCAACCCTGCCAATAACGCATTGGCGTCAGTCGCTACTATGGCAATTCAAGATTACGCTACCCATACCTCTAATAAAGATTGTTCAATATCAAAATAAAATAAATAGACATGTTTATGTTAAATGCACATGTTTAGAATTAGTGGATGGAATACATCTCTTTGCTTAGTTTTACTTCCTAAAGTGTTTATATTCCCCTTTTAATACAGTGCCTTGCAAAAGTATTCATCCCCCTTGGCGTTTTTCCTATTTTGTTGCATTACAACCTGTAATTTAAATGGGTTTTTATTTGGATTTCATGTAATGGACATACACAAAATAGTCTAAATTGGTGAAGTGGAATGAAAAAAAATTACTTGTTTCAAAAGATTCTAAAAAATCAATAACGGAAAAGTGGTGCGTGCATATGTATTCACCCCCTTTGCTATGAAGCCCCTAAAATAAGATCTGGTGCAACCAATTACCTTCAGAAGTCACATAATTAGTTAATTGCACACAGGTGAACTTTATTTAAGTGTCACATGATCTGTCACATGATCTAAGTGTGTATATATATATATACACCTGTTCTGAAAGGCCCCAGAGTCTGCAACACCACTAAGCAAGGGGCACCACCAAGCAAGCGGCACCATGAAGACCAAGGAGCTCTCCAAACAGGTCAGGGACAAAGTTGTGGAGAAGTACAGATCAGGGTTGGGTTATAAAAAAAATATCTGAAACTTTGAACATCCCACGGAGCACTATTAAATCCATTATTAAAAATTGAAATAATATGGCACCACAACAAACCTGCCAAGAAAGGGCCGCCCACCAAAACTCACGGACCACGCAAGGAGGGCATTAATCAGAGAGGCAACAAAGAGACCAAAGATAACCCTGAAGGAGCTGCAAAGCTCCACAGTGGAGATTGGAGTATCTGTCCATAGGACCACTTTAAGCCGTACACTCCACAGAGCTGGGCTTTACGGAAGAGTGGACAGAAAAAAGCCATTGCTTAAAGAAAAAAATAAGTAAACATGTTTGGTGTTCGCCAAAAGCCATGTGGGAGACTCCCCAAACATATGGAAGAGGGTATTCTGGTCAGATGAAACTAAAATTGAGCTTTTTGGCCATCAAGGAAAACGCTATGTCTGGCGCAAACCCAACACCTCTCATCACCCCAAGAACACCATCCCCACAGTGAAGCATGGTGGTGGCAGCATCATGCTGTGGGGATGTTTTTCATTGGCAGGGACTGGGAAACTGGTCAGAATTGAAGGAATGATGGATGGTGCTAAATACAGGGAAATTCTTGAGGGAAACCTGTTTCAGTCTTCCAGAGATTTGAGACTGGGACGGAGGTTCACCTTCCAGCAGGACAATGACCCTAAGCATACTGCTAAAGCAACACTTGAGTGGTTTAAAGGGAAACATTTAAATGTATGGGAAAGGCCTAGTCAAAGCCCAGACCTCAATCCAGTTGAGAATCTGTGGTATGACTTAAAGATTGCTGTACACCAGCGGAACCCATCCAACTTGAAGGAGCTGGAGCAGTTTTGCCTTGAAGAATGGGCAAAAATCCTAGTGGCTAGATGTGCCAAGCTTATAGAGAAATACTCCAAGAGACTTGCAGCTGTAATTGCTGCAGAAGGTGGCTCTACAAAGTATTGACTTTTGGGGGGGGGGTTGAATAGTTATGCGCGCTCAAGTTTTCTGTTTTCTTGTCTTATTTCTTCTTTGTTTCAGAAGAAAATATATTTTGCATCTTCAAAGTGGTAGGCATGTTGTGTAAATCAAATGATACAAGACCCCCAATAATCCATTTTAATTCCAGGCTGTAAGGCAACAAAATAGGAAAAATGCCATGGGGGGTGAATACTTTCGCAAGCCACTGTAGGTCTAAGAATACCTCGGAATACCCAATAGAATGCTCAATAAGCCTTAACCTTTGACCCCTGTGCCCTGCAGCATCAGAGGGATAAGAGAGAGGAGGAGGGGTCTGGGTCTGGTGAGGGAGGGGGTCGTAAGAACCGCACCCTGACCGAGAGGCTGCGTCGTGGCGAGCACCAGAAGCTCTTCACCAGACTCAAACAGGTGCTGTTCATGGAAGAACTGGACCCCAAGGTCTCCAAGCTACACCTCCTCTCACAGGTAAGGGACAGTCTGTTATGTGGCTGTGTAACCGGCTATTTGTTTTGGTTAATTTTGTCCTGTTCTGTACTGTGGTAGACACAAGAATTATACATTTACTTTCATATATTTTTAATTAATAAACTCAACTTTTTCATGGTCGCATTTTTTACCTCTGTGCTTCCCATAGGTTTGCAGCTTGGGTATAGATGGTTAATAATAAAGATACAAAAGGGATTTTAACATTTCATTATTATTTCATCAGGCTCTGAAGGAGATTCGTACCCTGTCGGTGGACTCTGAGTCTCTGGAGGAGAAGAAGAGGATGCTGACTGAGATCCAGTCTGTCTATGTCAAGGAGATCGCATACATGTCTGGTACGTCTGACTGGAGCTACTTACTTAATCACTTACTTACTTAAGCACTTACTTATTTACTTACATACTTAACAACTTACTTACTTAATCAATTACTTACTTAACATGTACTTAATACTTGGTTACTTTATCACTAGCTTACTTTATCACTAGCTTACTTTATCACTAGCTTACTTTATCACTAGCTTACTTTATCACTAGCTTACTTAATAACCTACTTACTTAAACACTTACTTGAGATACTTTTATTATGTGGTTGTTTCTGCCTCAGTATTACCAGAGATTCATTCAACATGTTTTGAAGGCAAGAAGCATATTAATGTGAACTCGGATGTGTTTTTTTTTTTTTTTTTTTATTGTAGGAAAGCCAGAGGAGCTGATCATGGCCAAGCTGAAGGAGATCTGGGAGAAGAAACGGACTCTGGCTGCCCAGAGGAGAGCAGCTGTCCCCCCTACCTCCACCTCCTCCTCTACCTCCCAGGTCTCCTCCTCCACTACTTCCACCCCTAGTCCCATCACCCTGACAGGTAATAATAACCTGCTTCTTATGTCTGACAACAGGAGGTATTCAGATGCAGCTTTGGATTTGTGACACCTTTTTAATAATTATCATTTTACTGCATTGGGCTAAATCAGGGTTACACAGTGTTTCTTGGTACTCTTAAACAAATCTATACACCTAACACACATGGTTATGGTCTTTTATAAAAAAGACCCCTGTACCATGTCAGATATAGTTGAAATGTTGAGTTTGCATCCCAATATTACACTTTATATACATCACAGAAGACTGAAATATAACAAAACCGTTTGACATAGAAACACTGGATTTCCTGCACGTTTTTTGAAATAATGTTGATTAATTATACATTATGAATAATGTTCCACCCATGAGGTGACTAGAGGGCAATTTGGGCATTTGACTGCAAGAAAGGCTATGAGGTATGACCCTGCCAGCCCCCCTAGATAGCTAGTGTCTACAGGCTTTTGTACCATCCCTACACCTACGCACCTGATTCACCTGTTTCTGTGGGAGTATGGCCACTAAGCAGGATCAATGAGTTAGCCAGCTAACTTTGATAAACCATTTAGATATAGCTCTTATTTATCTGTATATCCCAGTGTCCCAGGTGTCTCAAGCTAGCTCTCTGGGTCAGGCAGGAGCAGCTAGTGGCTCTGTGAAACCAGTGGCTGCTGTTCTACGCACCAAGAGCGGCAAGATCATACTTCCTGCTTCCATGCTTCCCCCTTCCATGCTTCGTGCTTCCAAACCAGGTGAGCGCATACAGGAACAGGACACCCATATTTGGTCTCTCACGCTCATGTTTAAGAGATTATGCAAGTTCTATATCTAAATATGAAATATCAACAATGCTGAATTGGAAGAGCGTAATAACTGTGTTTTGAAGTCCATTTGCACACTATATGGGTAAAATGTGCCAAGGGTTATGATCGTTAGACTGGCATTCTGACTAGAATATGTTGTTGTGAGTCTGTCAGTCTAACGGTTGTGTATTTCCTTTATCCACAGCAGGAAGAGCGGTCTACACAGTGAAAGTTATGAAGAGACCATCAACAGCCATCTCTCTCTCCAACCCCACCTCCTCAGCAGCCAAGGAGGTTGTGGAGAAGGTGAGAGCTGAGGAAAAGGAGTATAGGCCCCCGACTATCCACCCCGCACAGCCCCTCTCTCAGACACCTGACCCACAGCCCTCTGTGTCTGCCTCTGGCCCTGAGAAGAAGGACCAGGGGAGAGTGTCTGGGGAGGCTGAGAAGCCCTCAGACAGCCCAGCAGAGGAGAGGCCAGAGGTAGGTAAGGAGGAACCACAGGCCCCTGTCTGTAATGGATCCATGGAAGAAGAGACTTCCACAGAGAAGGACAACAGCTCAACTCCAAAAGAGAAGAAGTCACTGATCAATAAAAACTCAATCAAGAGGCTTTCTGGTATGAAGTGTCCCCTCGTGGAGATTGCTCCCCTAAACAGTGCCATCTGGAGGCCGTTGGAGGAACTGCAGATGGGGGGTGAGAGTGACGCTGGAGGCTGGGGCCTGTCTCTGACCAAGGGAGAGGCAGCCATACTGGTGAAGGCTCTCTCTGAACACCAGGGCATAGTAGTGGGGCGGAAGGGAAAGGATAGCCCGGTCCAACACAATGGAAAGAAGAGCTCTGTGACACTAAAGGGCAAGAGTAGCTCAGTCACACCGAAAATAAAGGATAGCTCAGAACTACAAAAAGAACAGGATAGCACGGTGTCGCAGAAAGAAGCTGATCGCTTGGTCCCACAAAAGGGAAAGGATAGCTCGGTCACACCAAAGAAAAATGATAGCTCGATCATTCAGAAGGCAGAGGTTGGCTTGGTGACATCAAAGGAAAAGGATGGTTTGTTGACACAAAAGGGAGAGGGAGGCTTCACAGACGGCTCAGAGGCTCAACTAGTGAAGAGGAAACGGGGAAGGCCTCGCTTGGACATCAAAACACCACCAGCTGACATCAAGACACCACCAGCTGACATCAAAACACCACCAGCTGACATCAAAACACCACCAGCTGACATCAAAACACCAGCAGCTGACATCAAGACACCACCAGCTGGAGATATCACTACTAACCCTGCTCCGCGGGGTCGGCCCCGTAAAGTATCACGGATTGGGGTGAATAGCTCTGTGGCAACGACTGGTGGCAACGACCAGGCCAACGTGACACAAACCGCGGGTAGTACTAGTAACCCTACCCCAGTGTCTAAACCTGGGGGTATTCTTGTGACTAACACTGGGGGTGGTGAAATCCAACTAACACCAAGGGAACATAGCCTTAGCCCTACGAGGCGGGGTAGGCCTCCTAAAGTACGATGGGTTGGGGTTACTACTAGCCCTGTGGTGACGACTGGACCTGGGGGTAGTACCCCTACCCCAGTGACTCAAGATGGGGGTAGGCCTGTGAAGAGTGCTGCCGGTAGCCCTGCAACTTTGGGTAGGCCACCCAAGGTGCGGCGAGATGGTTCTAGTCCGGCCAAGGTGACTAGGGATGCGGTTACTAGCCCGGCTCCTGTAACTCGGGCAGGGTTAAACCCGGCGAGATGGACTCGTGCTGGGGGAGGTAGCCCTGTGGTGAAGACTGAGGGCAGCCCATCCAAACCTCCACGAGGAGGAGCTGAGGTTAATAGCCCTGTAGCCATGACTAAAGGAAGCACAGGTAAAACGCCACAGGCTGTGGGTCGGTCTGGAACACGACATGTGACCCGCGCTGTAGCGGTGAAGGGCCCTGTCAGTGGGAAGAGGACGACAAGGTCTGATAAGGCCTAGTGAAACTGAGACTAAGGCTGCATTTCCACACGGTTTCCATTGGTTCATCTCGATACTGTAGTAGTCTAAAATGGCGTCCTCCCCTTGTTTTCTCTCCTTCCACTCCAATGACGCTGCGTTTCAGCCTAGCTCCAACCACAGGAGCAAGAGAATCATACTCCTAACAGACGTGCCGTTAACTGTCATTAAAGCTAGAATCCTTAGTTGCTGCATCCATTTTTTGACTTATAAATGTAAGATGTATACCCATTGATTCTTGAAGAATATAACTTCTAAATAAATGCCTCATGAGCTTCGTTCAACTGTCGTACCCCATCAGAACACAAAATATACGCTTGTTTTACTCCAATGTTTGTTAACAAAGTAAATGTGAACAAACACACTGTACAGCCTCAAAACATGGTTAAATTGTTTTATGTCATGCATGGTTACATGGTTACTCATTGCATCCATAGCTCTTTCTATGAATTTGAGAGTGGTTACATTTCTCCAGGCCCGTCCCTCCGCTTTTTTACAAAAATGTTTTTATTGTTTCAATTAAGGATTCAAGCTTTAAGTTGTGAAAAGAGGTCCTGAAATCCCATTGAGACCACCGCATGTGCCTGTTCACAGATCAAAGGACCCTGGACAGTTATGCCTGTGTGAGTTAACCCTCTCTTAGCTTTAGCACTCATCTGCCTGCCTTCTCTTGAATACACAACAAAGTAGACAATAACTTACACCTACAGGACACTCCGTTTTCCGAACATCCTAAGTCTTTGAGCGAAACATTAAATTAATGTACTGTATGAATGTAGTGAAGGTTTGACTGCTGTTTGAGCCGTTGTACAGGTACAGAGGACTATAGCCCCATATTGGGGTGAATGTGACATGTCATGCATTTTTGATGAAGTCAATATTGTTATTATGTTCTAGAAAGTTGATTTCTTGTTATTTAATAATCAAACCACTAATTGTTGAAGATTTACGGTATAGGGAAGGTCTGTATTATTTTTTTATCTTCAGTATCACGGTTGGTTCATGACTTCACTCCCTGTGTCTTTAATGTAGGGGTGTGTGTTGTCTTCGATTTAACTTTATAAAATAATGGACATGCATGAACATGACCACAAAACAGATCAATAATTACTTTCTGGCCCAATTGGATGTTACCAATAAGCCCTAATTGTTGCAGCTTAAAATCATTAATTTGAGATGTACAACATTCATGTTTGTTCATGTCAAAAACACTGTAAATGTTATTTCTATGCCACTGTGAAGAATTGTTGTATTATAGCTGTGATTGGTGCGTCCCAGTCTTTCAAATACACTCTTCATTTAGTTCCGAGGTCTATGAATTTTTAAAAAAATAGCACTTTAAGTCAATTTATACCATTCCTTTTTCTGTCATTTCTACACCGTCACAACCATGTTGAATATTTCGGTTTGCCTTATGGATTGCTTACCCATGTTTTCCAATGGTACTCCTTGTTCAATGATTCTTATGTCTGATTTTTGAGGAATTTCTGCATTACATGTTTAAAAAAAAAATAAGACTTGTGTTTCAACCTTTTCTGACTCACAATCATGACACAATCTAAGCTATACTGTAATGTATCTATGAAAATAACCTTTGTAAATATGTGTTTTCTTTTTATATATGTCTGTCTTGTGTTGTATAATGTTCCTCATACATTTTTTTGGAAAGAAATTACTGTTTTACTTCAGTCACTCAGATGTGCTGGCAAGATACTGTGGCCTTGAAAATGAATAAACCTGTACATGCATTTCTTTGCTGTGGCAGTTGTCTTAACCTCCATGAAACACGACAAATTCACAATGTGAAGGTGTAGAATATTATAGAACAATCATAATTTGACTAGTCATTCTAGCAGTAATTGGCAAGTAATTATTGCAGTTATTATAGGAATTAATTGTGGTTTTCTTATTGATTCTTATGGCACAAAGTTTAAACTGATATTTTAAATGGGTTTTACACACTTATGTATCTGTTACACTTGCATTATAGCACAGATTATCCATTATATTGACCAGATCAGGTGGGACCATTCTAGCCAATGAGAGGGCAGATACGCGTTTGCGCAACACGGATGTAAAATGTTTTTCTCAAAGTTGTCACGTGTCTTACTTATCATTACACTCGTAACGACCTAAGCCAGGGATGGGCAACTTTGATAGGGGTGGGGCCACAAAAAGCGGAACTCATGAAGGGCTGCTGTGGGTCTACGTACCCACACCACGCCCACCTTGCGAGTAAAACATTTTCGTTTTACAGCTAATTTCCTGCAATTCTACACATTTTGCAATAGGGTGGAGGCAAATGTTTCCAGTTTTTAATATGATAACTGATGACCAATGGGCCCCACCTCGGTCGGGTTTACTACAAATTTACATAGGCCGCTAGACTAATTTACCTATCAAATGTTGGATTTTGCTGGCATGGACTAATTGAGTGACTGCTGTTGCACAAACAAATGTCGAAATTGCACCGTGTATTCTATTATTCTAACTCTCAACAGTAAATTGAGACCCCGACTGAGTGAAATTGGTCCGCGGGCCTACAAAAGGGGATGTGCGGGCCGCCAATTGCCCGTCCCAGACCTAAGCATTACGAAACTTCTATTAGATCAAATAAGTGACACATAGCAAAAAAGCTATTCAATTTCTTGTAAAACAAATTCGACACACTCATTGACCTCCATACAAAAACTCCTCGCTTTGTGAGCGAAAAAAACAAGAACGCCACCTGGTGGTGAAGACCGATTTTGGGCCAAGTTATCCCTCTCGCTTCGCCTCTTCCACTCTGATTATAGGCCTTGTAGGCTACATACAGTGTGCAGATGTAGGCTAACTTTAACTGAGCTACTAAATTCAATCATATTAATCTCACTATCATATTAGATAAATAGCATAACATTTTATTTTTCTCAGTGCTAATTTAACCAAGGGATGAATGATTGACACACACGCACTGATCTAGGATCAACATGCTCTGCCGCCCTCCCCACATCCCAACGGTGTAGGCGGGGTAACAAAACTGACCTTCGATCAGCGTCAATGGGCCTCCTACTCTACTAGAGGAGAGAGAGAGGGAGTTTAGTCACAAAATATAAACTCCGACTACAGTACAGCCGTCACGGCAGTTCAACACTGCTTTAGAATAAAACTGTTAGAATAAAGGCTTTTAGTGTCATTGCATGCAGATTATATTTCTATTGGGTGTCATTTTGGAAACATTATAAAGCAACATTTTGCTTTATTGTGGTATAAATGAACCCAGATAATAGGGTAACGTGGGGTAAAATGTCCCCCCTAAGCTAGTGCATTAGCTAAGGGGGAGCTGTTATCCCACGTTACCCCTAAGCTAGTGTGTTAAAATAAATTTTTATAAATGTTTGTTTGACATTTGTTTGTAATGAACTCCTAAAAGCTAAAGTCTAGGTATCATATTTAAATTAAATAAATCAAATATTGAAACAAAAGGGCATTGCATATCTCACTGTTAATATCCTCACTATGATGATGTTTTGATGTAAGGTCAATTTTCTCGTTTTTGTGCCAAATCATGTAAAAATTATCCTAAAGTATCTAAAAAATGACTGTGTAACTCAATTAAAGAAATTACTCTGTGTAACTACAGTGCCTTCACAAAGTATTGATACCCCTTGACTTATTCCACATTTGGTTGTATTACAGCCTGAATTCAAAATTGATTAAATCAATTTTTTTTCTCACCAACCTACACAATATGCCCCATAATGACATATACCCCATAATTATAAAACATTTGCACATTTATTGAAAATGAAATACAGAAATTTCGAATTTACATAAGTATTCACACCCCTGAATCAATACATGTTAGAATCACTTTTGCAGCGATTACAGCTGTGAGTCTTTCTGGGTAAGTCTCTAAGAGCTTTGCACACCTGGATTGTACAATATTTGCCCATTATTCTTTAAAAAAATATATTCAAGCTCTGTCAAATTGATTGTTGATCATTGCTAGACAACCATTTTCATGTCTTGCCATAGATTTTCAAGCAGATTTAAGTTAAAACTGTAACTCGGCGACTCAGGAACATTCACTGTCTTCTTGGTAAGCAACTCCAGTGTAGGTTTGGCCTTTGGTGTTTTTGGTTATTGTCATGCTGAAAGGTGAATTCATCTCTCAGTGTCTGGTGGAAAGCAGACTGAACCAGGTTTTCCTCTAGGATTTTGCCTGTGCTTAGCTCTATTCCGTTTATTTTTTATCCTGAAAAACTCCCCAGTCCTTAATGATTACAAGCAGACCCATAACATGATGCAGCCACCACTATGCTTGAAAATATGGAGAGTGGTACTCAGTGATGTGTTGTGTTGGATTTGCCCCAAACATAAAACTTTGTATTTAGGACAAAAAGTTAATTGTTTAGCCACATTTTTTGCAGTATTACTTGCATGTTTTGGAATATTTGTATTCTTTAAAGACTTCCTTCTTTTCACTCTGTCAATTAGGTTAGTATTGTGGAGTAACTACAATGTTGTTGATCCATCCTCAGCTTTCTCCTATCACAGCTATTAAACTCTGTAACTGTTTTAAAGTCACCATTGGCCTCATGGTGAAATCCCTGAACTGTTTCCTTCCTCTCCGGCAACTGAGTTTGGAAGGACGCCTGTATCTTTGTAGTGACTGGGTGTATTGATACACCGTCCAAAGTGTAATGAATAACTTCACCATGCTCAAAGGGATATTCAATGTCTGCTTTTTTTTACCCATCTACCAATAGGTGCCCTTCTTTGCGAGGAATTGGAAAACATCCCTGGTCTTTGTGGTTGAATCTGTGTTTGAACTTCATTGCTTGACTGCGGGACCTTACAGATAATTTTATGTATGGGGTACAGAGATGAGGTATTCATTCAAAAATCATGTTAAACACTAATATTGCACACAGATTGAGTCCATGCAATTTATTATTTGACTTTTTAAGCACATTTTTACTCCTGAACTAATTTAGGCTTGTTAGACATTATCGATCATATTCTGATGCTGGAAAAATGTATGTGTTATGGCTTTACACCCCCTGCTATATTGTGGATAAAGAGTTACCTGTCTAACATAACACAGAGGGTGTTCTTTAATGGAAGCCTCTCCAACAAAATCCAGGTAGAATCAAGAATTCCCCAGGGCAGCTGTCTAGGCCCTTTACTTTTTTCAATCTTTACTAACGACATGCCACTGGCTTTGAGTAAAGCCTATGTATGCGGATGACTATACACGTCAGCTACCACAGCAACTGAAATGACAGCAACACTTAACAAAGAGCTGCAGTTAGTTTCAGGATGGGTGGCAAGGAATAAGTTATTCCTAAATATTTCAAAAACTAAAAGCATTGTATTTGGGACAAATTATTTACTAAACCCTAAACCTCAAGTACATCTTGTAATGAATAATGTGGACATTGAGCAAGTTGAGGAGACTAAATTGCTTGGAGTAACCCTGGATTGTAAACTGTCAGGGTCAAAACATATTGATACAACAGTAGCTAGGATGGGGAGAAGTCTGTCTATAATAAAGTGCTGCTCTGCATTCTTAACAGCACTATCAACAAGGCAGGTCCTACAGGCCCTAGTTTTGTCGCACCTGGACTACTGTTCAGTTGTGTGGTCAGGTGCCACAAAGAGGGACAATTGCAATTGGCTCAGAACAGGGCAGCACGGCTGGCCCTTGGATGTACACAGAGAGCTAACATTAATAATATGCATGTCAATCTCTCCTGGCTCAAAGTGGAGGAGAGATTGACTTCATCACTACTTGTATTTGTGAGAGGTATTGACATGTTGAATGCACCGAGCTGTCTGTTTGAACTACTGGCACACAGCACGGACACCCATGCATACCCCACAAGACATGACAGCAGAGGTCTCTTCACAGTCCCCAAGTCAAGAACAGACTATGGTAGGCGCACAGTACTACATAGAGCCATGACTACATGGAACTCTATTCCACATCAAGTAACTCATGCCAGCAGTAAAATTAGATTTAAAAAACAGAGAAAAATACACCTTATGGAACAGTGGGGACTGTGAAACAACGCAAACATAGACACATGCATACAAACACACAATAACATTTGCACTATACACATGTACACATGGATTTTGTGTTATAGATATGTGGTAATGGAGTAGAGATCTGAGGGCACACACTTAATGTTGTGAAATCTGTTATGAATGTATTATAATGTTTTTAAAATGTATAACTGCCTTCATTTTGCTGGACCCCTGTGATGAGTGGTCCTCTGTAGCTCAATTGGTAGAGCATGGCGCTTGTAACGCCAGGGTAGTGGGTTCAATCCCCGGGACCACCCATACGTAAAAATGTATGCACACATGACTGTAAGTCGCTTTGGATAAAAGCGTCTGCTAAATGGCATATTATTAGAAGGAGTCAGGCGCAGGAGGGTAAGTCACAGAATACAGAGTTTATTCCGTCGTACACAGTTGCGCTGGATAGCGACAATAAAATACAGGCACAGGGGAACAATCTACCCCGGCAATACAAGGTACGAGTAGCTCCACCGAGCTACATTCAACTCACATAAAACAATCACCCACAAGGACAAGGGGGCAGAGGGAACACTTATACACGGACTAATGAGGGGATATGAACCAGGTGTGTGTAATTGACAAGACAAGACAAATGGAATGATGATATATGGAGCGGCAGTGGCTAGTAAGCCGGTGACGACGAACGCCGAAGCCTGCCCGAACAAGGAGGGGAGGCAGCCTCGGCGGAAGTCGTGACAACCCCAGGAAGAGTAGCTGCTGCATTAGCAGGAACTAATGGGGATCCATAATACATACAAATACAAATAACAAAGGGGTTGATACTTACAGTGGCTTGCGAAAGTATTCACCCCCCTTGGCATTTTTCCTATTTTGTTGCCTTACAACCTGGAATTAAAATTGATTTTTGGGGGGTTTGTATCATTTGATTCCGTCTCTCACAGTTGAAGTGTACCTATGATAAAAATTACAGACCTCTACATGCTTTGTAAGTAGGGAAACCTGCATAATCGGCAGTGTATCAAATACTTGTTCTCCCCACTGTATATAAAAAGTTTATAGGTCTAAATTAATTAGATTATGTATATAACTTTTTCTAAATTATTAAATATTAGATCAACTTACCTCAGAATCGTTTTGTTAGAGTGACTTAAAAAATGTAGATGAGATAGATAACGTTTTTAGTTGTGCAAGAGTAGTGGCAGCCAGGTATGACATTATTTTTAAATGACTACCCCATCTCTGTACCCCACACATACAATTATCTATAAGGTACCTCAGTCGAGCAGTGAATTTCAAGCACAGATTCAACCACAAAGACCAGGGAGGTTTTCCAATGGTTCGCAAAGAAGGGCACCTATTGGAAGATGGGTAAATAAAAAATAAAAAATAAATTTGAGCATGGTGCAGTTATTAATTATACTTTGGATGGTGTATCAATACACCCAGTCACTACAAAGATACAGGCACCCTTCCTAACTCCTTTTCTGGAGAGGAAGGAAACCGCTCAGGGATTAAAACAGTTACAGTTTAATGGCTGTGATAGGAAATAACTGAGAATGGATCAACAGCATTGCAGTTACTCCACAATACTAACATAAATGACAGAGTGAAAAGAAGGAAGCCTGTACATAATAAAAATATTCCAAAACATGTATCTGTTTGCAATAAGGCACTAAATTAATACTGCAAAGAATGTGGCAAATAAATGATATTTTTGTCCTGAATACAAAGTGTTATGTTTGGGGCAAATCCAACACATTACTGAGTAATTTTCTTTCAAGCATGGTGGTGGCTGCATCTTGTTATGGGTATGCTTGGATAGAAAGAAATGGAATAGAGCTAAGCACAGGTAAAATCCTAGAGCAAAACTTAGTTCAGTCTGCATTCCAACAGACACATGGAGACAAATTCACCTTTCAGCAGGACAATTACCTAAAACACAAGGCCAAATATATGCTGGAGTTGCTTACCAAGACAACATCGAATGTTCCTGAGAGGTCTAGTTACAGTTTTGACTTAAATCGGCTTGAAACTTAGTGGCAAAGCTTGGCAAAGCTTGGCTGTCTAGCAATGTTCAACAACCAACTTGACAGAGCTTGAAAATGTTTTAAAGGAATAATGGGCAAATATTGTACAATCCAGGTGTGCAAAGCTCTTAGAAATTTACCCAGAAAGACTCACAGCTGTAATCGCTGCCAGTGATTCTAACATGTATTGACTCAGGGGGTTGAATAATTATCTAATCAAGATATATTAGTGTTTTATTTTCCTATTAATACAAAACAAACGTTTGAATTTTTATTTTACATTACAGAGTATTTTGTGTAGATAGTTGACAAAAATTACAATTAAATCCATTTTAATCCCACTTTGTAACATAACAAAATGTCAAAAAAGTAAAGGGGTATGAATACTTTCTGAAGGCACCTCAGATTGAAATGTTCAAATGTGAGACTTCATATTCCCTACAAAACAGTCCTAGGGCTGTGAACAACTGAGAACCTGGTAAAAAAAAAAAAAGAAGGATATATTGTATTCTATACCGTAACGTTATGCATGTATTTTGCTTCTCTATTGACCTTTGAATGCCTATTGTGTACTGTAGTCTATATGTCTTTGAATATATTGCTCCCCTTTAAACTGAATATCACATAGCCTATTAGGAAAGAAGACACTAACTGATTCAGTCGTAAGCTCTCAGTTTGACATGCCAAACCAAGCCTGTCCATTGTCAGGTCTCCTTCCCTGGCTGCCGTCCCTGACCTAAAGGGCTTGGAGGGGTTAAATCTGTTCAATACACTTTATCTCAGTTAGTTGATCTCTGACAGATGAACATCACAAAACACCAATTCAGAAAGGTGTCTGAGTTTAGGCTTAAAAAATTAATCATTTTTAGGCATTTACACGTCTTTCCTCAGCTCACTGTCAGAGATGACTGACACTTTTCCATTGCATGAGGTTGAGTCAGTGGCTCCTCCATCTGATCATGTGATCTATTGTTGAGAAAATCAAGAACAGAACAGCACACACTAACAGCGTGCTAACTAATCAATCAGCCTCCTCTCACACTGTATTGATAATAGATGCGATTCAGTGTCCAAACATTCCAGGGAGGTATTGAAGTATTTGTTTACCTATCTGTCCAGACCCCAAAAGCTATTTAAAGCATCGCCATTAGTCCATCAGGACTAATCTTCCTGGGTTCATAAATAAACATGCAATACCTACTTAAAAAACCCTCTCAGAACTCCACTAGTGCATAGTGATTACAGGCTAGGGGCCAGGGGTTGGGGGCTAGGGGTCGATTTGGGAGTGGGAAAAATGTTTGTTAAAATGGCAAATCTCTGTCTTCCCCTGTAGGTGACTCTGGAGAGGGTTCTGGGAATCACAGCGTCTGGCAACAGTGGTCTGGCCTGTGACCCCCACTCAGGTTTGGTGGCCTATCCTGCTGGGTGAGGAGAGAGAGATTTGCGCTTGTATTTGTAAACAACAAAAGAGAGATTGCTGTCACTATACAATGAAACTGCACTGTTTGTGGTAACTGTGTGTGTGTATGTGTGTGTGTGTGTGTGTGTGTGTGCTATCATGGAGGAACCAAGTTTTTTTCTCTGTTCTAACAGTGCTCATTGGATGTTAAAACCCATCAAGATGGCTCTGTAATACTCTGCTCTCATCCCGGGACTCATTCCCTACATTTGTTCCTCTATGCTGAGGTTTTGCTTAGCTGTGCTGTGCACAAAGTTGCTGTTGCCTCATGCAGACTATGCAAGGTCCTGGCTCAACATTAGCAGTGCTGAATGAGTCCAAACTAAGATTGGCTGGGGTTGGAGGGATGGACAATCAGAGTTTCTCAGGGTTGCTGCTAACACTGCCTGTAAGCAGAAACAGTAAACAGAGACAGAAATGCAGCAAGATCATTAGGTCCTTGGACTAGCTCTGTGCCAAGGACTGTATGTGTGTGTGTGTGTGTGTGTGTGTGTGTCTGTGTCTGTGTGTACTGTGTGTGTCTGTGTGTGTGTGTGTGTGTACTGTGTGTGTGTCACGATCGTTACATGATGAAGCGGACCAAGGCGCAGCGTGATAAGCGTACATACTTTATTCAGTACTGACACGAACAAAACAACAAACGAAACGTGAAGTCCTAGGTTAATAACACAAACCTTAACGGAACAAGATCCCACAATAAACTGGTGCCAACAGGCTGCCTAAGTATGGTCCCCAATCAGAGACAACGAGCTACAGCTGTCTCTGATTGGGAACCACCCTGGCCAACATAGAAACTAAACGATCTAGAACACAACATAGAAAACTATAACATAGAAAAATCCACACCCTGGCTCAACATATAAGAGTCCCCAGAGCCAGGGCGTGACAGTGTGTGTGTGTCTGTATGTGTACTGCATGCTCCTGGTACACTTAATAGTCCAGGGACCTGGTTCACGCAGAGCTGTGTTACAGTATTCACAGCTGCCAGGGTGTCTGCAACCCCACAATAACTGTGACCAGGAAGTGGTGATAGCAGGAAGTGATAGACATGCATTATGACGGGGACTCAGGTATCAGATTTGAATGGCAGGCAGGTAGAAGCTCAAAGAGGTTCACACGATTATCAGCCTGGCTTAGCGATTATGTTTAGGATCAATGGAAGCTTTGCAGTATTAACACTACTTTAAATATTACATATTCAGGATTAAGAGAAGCATTGTTGCAGAAATCAGAACAGTAGAATAAACAGCCCTTTGGAAGCATGTTAGTTAACTAACACACCTGTTGGGTTGCTAGTGTTACATCACACATAGCCCTACTGTTCTGTCACTTCTGTATTCATCAAATACCAAATACCAAATCACAGCCTTTTTGGAAAACACAAATTGCCTTTATGTCATGTAGTTATTCTAGACAAGACACGTGAGGCAATTTTTGAAAATGACACTGCATGGGCAAGTTCTGGTTCAATAAAGTTAACAGTGTAGTAGTTACAGTAGTAATGACTACTGTGTAACCCTGGGGTGGGTGTGTGTGTGTGTGTATCTTGATCTGTAGCTGTGTGGTGGTTCTGCTGAAACCCAAGAAGAACATACAGCACCACATCCTCAATACATCCAGGTGAGACATTACTGATTACTCACTCACACTACCATCTCCTAATCATCCTCTACTCATCCTCTACTCATCCTCTACTCATCCTCTAATCATCCTCTACTCATCCTCTAATCATCCTCTAATCATCCTCTAATCATCCTCTAATCATCCTCTAATCATCCTCTACTTATCTTCTAATCATCCTCTAATCATCCTCTACTCATCCTCTAATCATCCTCTAATCATCCTCTACTTATCTTCTAATCATCCTCTAATCATCCTCTAGTCATCCTCTACTCATCCTCTAATCATCCTCTAGTCATCCTCTACTCATTCTCTACTCATCTCCTAATCATCCTCTACTCATCTCCTAATCATCCTCTACTCATCCTCTAATCATCCTCTAATCATCCTCTAGTCATCCTCTAGTCATCCCCTGATACAGGTATGACTGTAACAACAGAATACTTTTCTTTCTCTCATCACAGGAAAACTATCACAGCTCTGTCCTTCTCTCCAGATGGCAAGTACTTGGTCACTGGAGAGGTAAGTTCTCCAACTCTCTCTCTTTCACACTTAGCTGGGCAGCTTAGCAAAACAAAAAGCACCACATTTAGCATAGATGTACATCTATGTACTGTTAAAAGTCTACTCTCTCTCATGTTGCTTTGATTTTAATCCTCAAAAGCTGATTAGCAGGTTTGCTTGAATATCTCCCTGTGTTGTACAGTAGGTGTGGTAATGTTCTAGCTCCATATCAGCTCATGTGACTCCATGCTGTTGTGTTGATCGTCTGCTGCACGTTAGCCTAATCCCTGCTAGCCAATCAGAGCCGATTAAATCCTGTCAGTGGATGAGCGCTCCGGAGTTGCAATAGCAGCAGGGGTCAAAGTACCAAGTACCATGCCCATAGGACTGCTGTTGGTTATTTTGAGGAGTGTATGTCAATTGAATGCTTCCTAAATGTAATTTTCATTTGGGTTGTGGTTGAAGACTAGAATATCACTAATTGACTCTGTCATTATATTGATGGAAGTCCCCTACAATGGAGGTGATGATGAGTCTGTTACTGAGAGCAGAACAATCAGTAGGATGTGTCAGAGATAAAGTTGAGGATATCCCTGTATCCCTGAGAGGATGATCTAACAACACACACACAGAGGAGCTGATCCACACACAGTGTTTTTCTTAGAGTCCCTGTATCCTCGGTTGACCCTGTCCTGAACTCTGATCTGGACACAGTCAGATTAAAGTAACAACCTTTTGACCTCTGATAGTGTGTGAGATGGTTCAGACAGAGTAGATTGTGGCTGACACAGCATGTGTAATCTCACTGTGACTTTATCTCTGTCTCCCCTTCTACCCATCTATTTCCCCCTCTCTCCCTCCACCTCCCCCCTCCCAGTCTGGCCTGCGGTGTGTGTGAGCAGCAGCAGGTGGCAGAGCTGCAGGAACATAAGTACAGTGTGTCCTGTGTGGCCTTCTCTCCGAACAGTAAATACATTGTCAGTGTGGGCTACCAGCACGACATGATGGTCCACGTCTGGGCATGGAAGGTACGCCAGCAGCCTCTGGCCAATAGGCATCTATCTTACTTGCCCAATGTCAGCTTTCTGTCAACCAATTCAATTCTAATTTGCCCTGTGTGACATTTCTGTGAATCAATAGTATCTACCCTTCTGCTGTACATGTTGTGTTTTCAGAAGAACACAGTAATTGCTGCTAACAAGGTGTCCAGTAAGGTGACAGCAGTGTCCTTCTCTGAGGACAGCTCCTACTTTGTGACAGCAGGGAACAGACACGTCAAGTTCTGGGACCTGGACCACTTCAAATCTATCAAGGTACCTCCATCTTTTTGTTTCCACTGTTTCTTTGTTTCCACTGCAACATTTGTGTAGAGCAGTCACCAAACCTGGTCTTGATGAACCTGATTCACTCTTTGGTCTCTCTATAGGCCAGTGCTCCAGTCTCCTGATACTAACACATATTAGCTAATAATACTACCACAGGAGGTTGGTTGCACCTTAATTGGGGAGAACGGGCTCGTTCTAATGACTGGAGCGGAATCGGTGTAATGGTAACAAATACATCTAACACATGATTTCCAGGTGTTTGATGCCATTCCATTTGCTCCGTTCCGGTCATTATTATGAGTCGTTCTCCCCTCAGCAGCTTCCTGTGAATACTACTAATACTACTAATAATACTAATAACACTAATAACACTAGTGTTTCTGTTGTCTCCCTACAGGCCAGTGCTCCAGTCCCTCTGCTGGGGCGCTCTGGTCTCCTGGGGGAGCTGAGGAACAACTTATTCTGTGACGTGGCATGTGGGCGTGGCTCTAAGGCTGACAGCACCTTCTGTATCACATTCTCCGGCCTGCTCTGTGAGTTCAACAGCAAGAGGATGCTGGACAAGTGGGTGGATCTACGGGTGAGTCACTGAGGCTGCGTTTACACAGGCAGCCCAGTTCTGATCTTTTTTTCCCTAGGGAGGGGCTTAGTGAATGACATTGGAGTGTGAAGTTGCCTTTAACAGGTGGCCTCATGCTAGGACTTGGCTGGCATGGTCTCTCTCAAGTTCCTTGGTGTCCACATCACCAACAAACTATCATGGTCCAAACACACCAAGACAGTCGTGAAAAGGGCACGACAAAGCCTAATCCCCATCAGGAGACTGAAAATATTTGGCATGGGTCCTCAGATCCTCTAAAAGTTCTACAGCTGCACCATCGAGAGCATCCTGACTGGTTGCATCACCACCTGGTATGGCAACTGCTCGACCTCCGACCGCAAGCCACTACAGAGGGTAGTGCGTACGGCCCAGTACATCACTGGGGCCAAGCTTCCTGCCACCCAGGACCTCTATACCAGGCGGTGTCAGAGGAAGGCCCTAAAAATTGCCAAAGACTCCAGCCACCCGCACGGCAAGCGGTACCGGAGTGCCAAGTCTAGGTCCAAAAGGCTTCTTAACAGCTTCTACCCCCAAGCTAATCAAATGACTACCTGGACTATTTGCATTGTGTCCCCCCCCCCCTCTTTTTACGCTGCTGCTACTCTCTGTTTATTATTTATGCATAGTCACTTTAACTCTACCCACATGTACATATTACCTCAATTAACTCCACTAACATGTGCCCCCGCACATTGACTCTGTACCGGTACCCCCTGTATATAGCCTCGCTACTGTTATTTTACTGCTGCTCTTTAATCTTTTTTTATTTTTCAATTTTTTTTATTTTTACTTATCTATTTTCTACTTAACACTTATTTTTCTTAAAACTGCATTGTTGGTTAAGGGCTTGTAAGTAAGTATTTCACTGTAAGGTCTACACGCATGTGACAAATACAATTTGATATGATTTGATGTGTCTGTTGCGTGAAAGGGGTTCATGTCTGTCTTTGGTATGGACTCTGTCCAACTGTAGGCTCTATAGAGGTTTGTGTGTCCCCTGTGTCCTGCCAGCGATAAGGGGATCACAGAGTGATAAGGGTTAGGGACCGGGACAGGGACGGGGACAGGATGTGTTTGTAACACTTCCAATGTGAACACCTTCATCCATCCAAGTCCAACCAGGAGTGAGGCCAGGACATTACTGACTGGATCCCTGTGTCCTTTAGACTAGATTTTCTCTGTTGCATCATTTCCTGTCTGTAGACCTCTGTGTCTGAGAAGTACCTCCAAGTTAAATGATATTGATTGATTAATTGGTAGACTGACTGATTGGTTGATCGATCTCCTCCTGTCCCTGTAGACCAGTGTGGACAGGTCTCTGTGTGTGTCAGAGGAGCTGATCTTCTGTGGCTGTGCTGATGGCATGGTACGAGCCTTCAGCCCTGCTGACCTGGGGTTCATCTGCACCCTGCCACGACCACACCACCTCGGCACTGACGTGTCCACCGTTACACAGGCCAGGTGTGACACACACACACACACACACACACACACACACACACACACACGTACACACACCTTTGTATAAAAGTTACCCTTAGGTACAGATCTAAGATCACCTTACCCTTCCCAATGCTAACCACCATTGGACTGGCTTTATATCAGTGTCTATGGGCAACTTCACATCCCTGTTTTACAAACACCATATTATGAGCTGAATGATGCAGGTTACTCCTGGTATACCATGCATTAACATTAGTCACACATTCCTTCCTTCCTCCCATCAGCCACCTGTTCACCAACAAGATGGCTGCCCTCTACCCTGACTCGGTGGCAGTGAACTATGACCCGGTCAGTCATTGGTTGAGCTGCGTGTATAACGACCACAGCCTGTATGTGTGGGACGTCAGGGACCTCCATTGAGTGGGCAAGGTGCACTCTGCCCTCTATCACGTCGCCTGTGTCTGGGACCTGCAGGTAAGAAACATAATGTCAAGATATCAGAGTAATATGTGAGGGCTGTAGAGATGATTCATTGTGCTGTGGTTGAGGGTACAGTTGAAGTCGGAAGTTTACATACAACTTAGCCAAATACATTTAAACTCAGTTTTTCACAATTCCTGACATTTAATCCTAGTAAAAATTCCCTGTTTTAGGTCAGTTAGGATCACCACTTTATTTTAAGAATGTGAAATGTCAGAATAATAGTAGAGAGAATTATTTATTTCAGCTTTTATTTCTTTCACCACATTCCCAGTGGGTCAGAAATTTACATACACTCAATTAGTATTTGTTAGCATTGCCTTTAAATTGTTTAACTTGGGTCAAACGTTTTGGGTAGCCTTCCACAAGCTTCCCACAATAAGTTAGGTGAATTTTGGCACATTCCTCCTGACAGAGCTGGTGTAACTGAGTCAGGTTTGTAGGCCTCCTTGCTCGCACATGCTTTTTCAGTTCTTCCCACACATTTTCTATAGGATTGGGGTCAGGGCTTTGTGATGGCCACTCCAATACCTTGACTTTGTTGTCCTTAAGCCATTTTGGCACAACTTTGGAAGTATGCTTGGGGTCATTGTGCATTTGGAAGAACCATTTGCGACCAAGCTTTAACTTCCTGACTGATGTCTTGAGATGTTGCTTCAATATATCCACATAATTTTCCTTCCTCATGATGCCATCTATTTTGTGAAGTGCACCAGGCCCTCCTGCAGCAAAGCACCCCCACAGCATGATGCTGCCACCCCCATTCTTCACGGTTGGGATGGTGTTCTTCGGCTTGCAAGTCCCCCCTTTTTCCTGCAAACATAACAATGGTCATTATGGCAAACAGTTCTATTTTTGTTTCATCAGACCAGAGGACATTTCTCCAAAAAGTGCGATCTTTGTCCCCATGTGCAGTTGCAAACCGTAGTCTGGCTTTTTTATGGTGGTTTTGGAGCAGTGGCTTCTTCCTTGCTGAGCGGCCTTTCAGGTTATGTCGATATAGGACTCGTTTTACTGTGGATATAGATACTTTTGTACCTGTTTCCTCCAGCATCTTCACAAGGTCCTTTGCTGTTGTTCTGGGATTGATTTGCACTTTTCCCACCAAAGTCCATTCATCTCTAGGAGACAGAACACATCTCCTTCCTGAGTAGTATGACAGCTGTGTGGTCCCATGGTGTTTATACTTGCATACTATTGTTTGTACAGATGAACGTGGTACCTTCAGGCGTTTGGAAATTGCTCCCAAGGATGAACCGGACTTGTGGAGGTCTTGGCTGATTTCTTTTGATTTTCCTATGATGTCAAGCAAAGAGGCACTGAGTTTGTAGGTAGACCTTTAAATACATCCACAGGTACACCTCCAATTGACTCAAATGATGTCAATTAGCCTATCAGAAGCTTCTAAAGCCATGACATCATTTTCTGGAATTGTCCAAGCTGTTTAAAGGCACAGTCAACTTAATGTATGTAAACTTCTGACCCACTGGAATTGTGATACAGTGAATTATAAGTGAAATAATCTATCCGTAAACAATTGTTGGAAAAATTACTTGTGTCATGCACAAAGTAGATGTCCTAACCGACTTGCCAAAACTATAGTTTGTTAACAAGAAATGTGTGTAGTGGTTGAAAAACGAGTTTTAATGACTCCAACCTACGTGTATGTAAACTTCCGACTTCAACTGTATATGGAAGTACCTCAGTACTCTACAGAGTGTGTTACTATACTGTTCTATCGTATCCTTCTCCATGACTTTTTTCTCCCCGCGCTGCTGACTGCTATTTTGGTCCGCTCATACAGGAGTAATAAAGTAATACTACTTCCCGCGGAAGTGCTCTCTGTTCTCCAGATGTTCCCAGAGGTCTCAGAGGTCCCAGAGTCTGGCCTGTGTTCTGGAGTGTTCTTCAGCTGTTCAGCAGACAACACAGTCAGACTGTGGAGTTCAGAGGGTCAGGGACACACTCACACACACAATGTTCTCAGTAAGGTGAGTGTTCCATGTCTCACAATGTAGTCCGGTAGATGCACTACATTACCAAAAGTATGTGGACACCTGCTCGTCGAACATCTCATTCCAAAATCATGGGCATTAATATGGAGTTGGTCCCCCCTTTGCTTCTATAACAGCCTCCACTCTTCTGGGAAGGCTTTCCACTAGATGTTGGAACATTGCTGCGGGGACTTGCTTCCATTCAGCCACAAGCATTAGTAAGGTCAGCCACTGATGTTGGGCGATTAGGCCTGGCTCGCAGTCTGCGTTCCAATTCATCCCAAAGGTGTTCGATGGGGTTGAGGTCAGGGCTCTGTGCAGGCCAGTCAAGTTCTTCCACACTGATGTCGATAAACCATTTGTGTATGGACCTCGCTAGCACAAAACATGAAAAACAGCCCCAGACCATTATTCCTCCTCCACCAAAATTTACAGTTGGCACTATGCATTCGGGCAGGTAGTGTTCTCCTGGCATCCACCTAACCCAAATCCGTCCGTCGGACTGCCAATTTCCACTGCTCCAGAGTCCAATGGCGGCGACCTTTACACCACTCCAACCGACGCTTGCATTGTGCATGGTGATCTTAGGCTTGTGTGCGGCTGCTCGGCCATGGAAACCCATTTCATGAAACTCCCGACGAACAGTTCCTGTGCTGACGTTGCTTCCAGAGGCAGTTTGGAACTCGGTAGTGAGTGTTGCAACTGAGGAAAGACGATTTTTATGGGCTGCGCGCTTCAGCACTCGGCGGTCCCGTTCTGTGAGCTTGTCTGGCCTACCACTTCGCTGCTGAGCCGTTGTTGCAGCTAGACGTTTCCACTACACAATAACAGCACACCGGGGAAGCTCTAGCAGGACAGACATTTTACGAACTGACTTGTTGGAAATGTGGCATCCTATGACGGTGCCACGTTGAAAGTCACTGAGCTCTTCAGTAAGGCCATTCTACTGCCAATGTTTGTCTATGGAGATTGCATGGCTGTGTGCTCGATTTTATACACTTGTCAGCAACAGGTGTGGCTGAAATAGCCGAATCCACTAATTTGAAGGGGTGTCCACATACCTTTGTATATATAGTGTAGCAACCCACCTCTTCATGTGAAAAGCTGTATTGTGTTGAGATAAACTGTTAAACCTCTTGCTGTATTGTGTTGAGATAAACTGTTAAACCTCTTGCTGTATTGTGTTGAGATTTACATTTTAGTCATTTAGCAGACGCTCTTATCCAGAGTGACTTACAGTTAGTGAATACATATTTTTTTTATACTGGCCCCCCGTGGGAATCGAACCCACAACCCTGGCGTTGCAAACGCCATGCTCTATCAACTGAGCTACATCCCTGCTGGCCATTCCCTCCCCTACCCTGGACGACGCTGGGCCAATTGTGCGCCGCCCATGAGTCTCCCGGTCGCGGCCGGCTGCGACAGAGCCTGGATACGAACCAGGATCTAGTGGCACAGTTAGCACTGCGATGCAGTGCCTCAGACCACTGCGCCACTCAGGAGTACCCTAGTAAGGTAAACTGTTAAACCTCTTGCTGTATTGTGTTGAGATAAACTGTTAAACCTCTTGCTGTATTGTGTTGAAATAAACTGTTAAACCTCTTGCTGTATTGGCTCCTGAGAGTCTTCTTGCTCCCTTACTTCCACTGCACTCCGGCCATCCTTACTTCTTTCATCCAATATCTCCGGCCATCCTTACTTCTTTCATCCAATATCTCCGGCCATCCTTACTTCTTTCATCCAATATCTCCGGCCATCCTTACTTCTTTCATCCAATATCTCCGGCCATCCTTACTTCTTTCATCCAATATCTCCGGCCATCCTTACTTCTTTCATCCAATATCTCCGGCCATCCTTCCTTCATTCATCCACCTCTCTACCCCTCAGGACCTGTTGAAGGTGATCTATATGGATGGAAACACCGCTGCCCTGGTGGATACAGAGGGAAGTGTGTCAGTAAGTACACAGAAGACAGACAGTCAGACAGCAGAGACCAGGACAGGCATCAGGACAATCTGTGTCAGCCCCAATGGGAAACACCTGGCGTTTGGAGACTGCAACGGGATACTGAGGTAGGAAACGGGATCAGAACGGGATTAAAATGGGATTGGGATGGTATGGGGATGGAATGGAATGGGATGGGGAATGGATGGAATGTCATGGGGATAGAATTGGATGGAATGGGATGGGGATGGACTGGAATAGGGATGGGGATGGAATGGGATGGGATGGAATGGGGAATGGATGGAATGTCATGGGGATAGAATGGGATGGAATGGTATGGATGGGGATAGGGATGGGATGGAATGGGATGGTGATGGAATGGGATGGGGATAGAATGGGATGGAATGGAATGGAATGGGGATGGAATGGAGATTGGAATGGAATGGATGGAATGTCATGGGGATAGAATGGGATGGAATTGGATGGAATGGGATGGGGATGGGGATGGGGATGGGATGGAATTAAATGGGGATGGAATGGGGGTCTGAATGGGATGGGGATGGCTGGGTGTGTCTTTTCTTTCTGGGCTTTTTCTTGGTCTTGGGGGTGGGATGTGTTTCTTCCTGGGGATTTCTGGGATGGGGATTGGGATGGGAATGGAATGGAATGGGATGGAATGTGATGGAATGGGGATGGGATGGAATGGGGATGGGAATGGAGTTTCGTATGTATCTAACTGGATGTTAAGAGGTGTACAATACAGGAGTACCTTTTCACACACTGTTTGTGCGTATGTTCTGCAGGGTTCATGACCTCAGCAGTATGGCAGAGATTCAGAAGGTGGAGGCCCATGACTCCGATATACTGTGTCTGGAGTACCATCTGATCCACGTCCTGGATGCTGACAAAGACTATGGTCTAGTCCAGACCCTGGACGAACACTCTTCATCCATCACAGCCGTCCGATTCGCTGGTGAGTGACCTGTGACCTCACGACATCAGAGAGGAAGACCTCACTCTGTAGAACAGAAACAGTCTATGTAGTGAGGTTTGACAGTAGGAGAAAATTATGTAAGATCTTGGTCATGATCAAAGCTCTGTGATTGGTCTCATGGCTATGGTGACATTGCCTCTCCTTCAGCCAATGACAACAAGGTGAGGATGATCAGCTGTGGAGCAGACAAGAGCATCTACTTCCGTATGGCTCACAGGGTAAGACACTCAACACTCAATCAGGGTACACAGGGTAAGGAACATGTTATTGTGCCCCGTTACAATTACAGAATTCCAAAAGGTATTATGTAAGTAACTGGGACCTTTTATGTAAGGTATTATGTAAGTAACTGGGATCTGTTCCATCTATTAACATGCTCTTTGTTTTTACCAAGTGGCTGCGTGTCAGTATTTAACTTTAACTTTCTGTCTTGTTTTTATGAGTATTAAAAACATCCCTTACTGTCTAGAATGTAATGTAGCTCTGCTTGTATGTGACCTGCAGACATAGAGAATAACTTAAGATGATGTTGACATTACTGTTCAAGAGTCAAACAACAGTAAGCTAGATAAATAAACAAATGATATCATTAGTTTTCTTGTTCTCTTCCCCCTCAGACAGACAGAGGTACAGAGTTCAGGCGGTCTCACCACGTGGTGATGAAGTGTGCTCTGTATGACATGGATGTAGAGCCCAGCTGTAAGTACGCTGCTGTGGGTTGCCAGGACCGATGCATCAGGATCTTCAACATCAGCAGTGGGAAACAGAAGAAACTCTACAAGGGTTCACAGACTGAGGATGGCAGCCTGCTCAAGGTTTAGGATCATTCAACTCTATCTAAAACTCTATCAATGACAGAAAGAAAATGTCAGCTCACTGTTGCTGCTCGCCAAATAAGTTATTTATGAAGCTTGTGATAGTCACAATGTTTCAACTAGTGATGAGCACTGGTATGGAAAATCTACATTGATATCAGTTGCGTTTTTTCGATCCGATATCAGTATCAAATCAGTTTGAATGAATAACATTGCAACTGTGTGGACTTTACTTCCACGGCTTTGTGAAGTTCATACAACTTCTTGCTGATGACCCATTGGGCCAAGTTTGAATGTTCTGGAGGCTTACCCAACCAGTTAGACTACAATAGGAAGCCTGTTGATGGCCCATCAGCAGGCAGTTAAGTATGCTAAGTTGAGAACCAGTGAGAGGATTTTGTGCCTGCACGATCAGTCATGTATGTATGCTCTTTTACATAATAGTGTCGGTTAACAGCAAGGATAAACCGGTATCACGATATGGCTTGCTCATATCCATATTAAACTATATCGATATCATATCGAATTATTGGTATTCACCACTTTTCAACCTTTTTGTTGTGTTGCTCCCCATGCTGGTCCAGACTGATCCGTCTGGACAGTACGTTGCCACTAGCTGCTCTGATAAGAACATCAGCATCTTTGACTTCTGCTCTGGAGAGTGTGTGGCCACCATGTTCGGACACTCTGGTAACACTCCATGCCATACTGTATACTGCACACATACACATAGTATGAAAACAACCTAGCAGCCAGCTGAGTATCTCTCTCTTCCTGTTCTCAGAGATAGTGACTGGGATGAAGTTCACCAACGACTGTAAACATCTCATCTCTGTGTCTGGGGACAGGTATGACCCCCCTGTCACAGTGGCAGGTACATGTGTGTCTTTGTGTCTGTTAAAGCTGTCATGGTGGCTAGATATATATCTCCCTGACCGCTGGCCATTGTCTATTCCAGCTGTATCTTTGTGCGGCGTCTGGCTCCAGAGCTGACAATGAATATGAGAGAACGTCTTTCCCAACTCAGACGACCCCCCTCACACCCCTCTGCAACACCTCCATACTCAGGTAAAGGATTGGATGAGTGTAATCAGTAGAGTAACAGTTTCCACAAGGGGTATGGGCTAGAGGACTGGGAAGATATTTCACTCTCCTTTTTGCTGTTGTGTGTGTGGTGTAGGCGTGAGGGGTACAGTGCGCCCGCTCTGGGTCTGGTGTCATCACAGTGTGACCATGAAGTGGAGGAGCAGGGGCCAGAGGAGTGGGGACGACCCCTGTGACCCGGAACCGATCACAGTCAACAGTAACACCTCCTCAGGGAGTAGCCATGACAACAACACAGGTATAGACTGATCATATCTGGATTAAATGTTTGGGCAGATTCTTCTTGCACCACTACATTCAATACTGCATTCTTGTCTATTATAGCTGCATCAGATGAAGGACAGGACTTGGAATCTAAGAAGGTCGGTTGGACTGTTGTAGTTACTAACACACACATGCACACACACAGAGAGAGCTTGCTCCATTCTGCCCTCTGCTGTTGATAACTGGTCATGCTACTGTCTTTCTACCTTCCTTCCTTCGGAGCTTTCGGGGGCGGCGATAGAGCTGAGAGCGAGCGCGAGAGAGAGAGAAGAGAGAGAGAAAGAGCGCGCGCGATGCAGCGAGCGGCCTGTTGGAGCTCAGCGCCCGAGAGCGGCTCGCGCTCGCTCGCTGTCTAGCTCTCTCTCTCTCTCTGCATCGCTCAACCACTCTCCTCTCCTATCCTCACTCTCTCTCCCCTCTCTCTCGTCCACCTCCCTACCCTCTCCTCTCCAGGCCCCAGACAGCCCTGTGGCACCTGAGCCCTCCTGTCGGCCCCGGCGTTGCTGGTCCTGCCGTATGGGCTCTCTGGAGTTCATGGTCAAATCTATGCTGGACCTGAGACAGCTAGACGCCTTCTCCATCACCGGCTCCTCCCACAATAAAGGCCTCAAGGCTCAGAGAGAGAGAAACAGGCAGCATCTCCAGCCTGCAAGAGGCCTTTGTGAGTAAAGAGGGAGGGAGAGGGGGAGAAAGGGAGAAAGGGAGAAAGATAGAGAGGGAGGGGGGTGGGAGAGAGAGAGAGAGAGAGAGATAGAAAAAGAGAAAGAGAAAGAGAGAAAGGTAGAGAGGGAGAGAGGAGGTACCTTAATAGAGGTCATATCTATAGCTAATAGATTACTAATAGATTCTAGACAGGTAGATGGACTTGGTTTTCCCTAACACTCCTAACCCTTACATGCCTCTGTTCTGTGAGAAACAGGACTTGAAGGAGCTGGTTAAGAGACGTCGTCCTCGACCCCACTCTGCTGCCTGGCTGACCCCTAACCCCAACACCAACCCTAACCCTGATCCTAACCTGGGCTCCCAGGGGACTGATGGAGGTGTGCTGTACCCCGAGGGGAGCGAAGATGCTGCCAGTGGACAGGGCAGGTAATCCTCACTCACACATAAGGACACATATATTATGCATAAATAAACACACCTCTTCTACCTTCAGACTTCCTCCTTTTGTTTTCCTCTTTATCTGGTGAAGGAGTCGCCTCGCGGCCTGGGTAGGGGAACTGTGAGCCGGAAAGCCAGGACAGCCAGGACAGCCAGGACAGCCAGGACAGCCAGGACAGCCAGGACAGCCAGGACAGCCAGAGCCAGGACAGTGCCTGTTCTGTAGGCTATGAGAGTAGAGAGCTTACTCCTGAGCCGGATCATGGAGGTAAGAACACACACACCCACATACAAACACACACACACCAGTGGCGGTCAGTGCCGTTTAAGATGAGGGAGGATGATAATATTTTTTATGAACATGGCCTTATTTCTATTACAGCATATTGGATGACTCTCATTCATATTCCATTCACCCAGTTCATTGTAACATCGATAGGTTTAGGCTACTACATGATACTAAAATGTTCCCTATACCCATCATGAGGTTGCTACAACCTAGCCTATGAATGAAAGTTTATAACGTAGGTGCACAGGTCGAAAAAAAAGTAATCAAAGTGACAGACAGTGACACATTCATTACCGCCTTGCACACTCTTGCCTGCATCTAGCTGATCTAGTGTGTAATCATTAGTCCAACAGTTTGCAAATGTGAGTTTCAATTGGACAACGTTTATCCCCATTTTGTTCCGTTTGCTTCCGTTTAAGAAACGTTTTTCAACAGAATCAGTGGAATGAATACACCCCTGATCACACGCAAACACAGTTAACTTTCATAGCAGCCACATTTGCATATATAATTCTTTCTCGCAACTATCTACGCGCTCTCTTTCTCTCACCTTTTCCCTTCGCTTTTGGACTTCAGTGCACAACACATCAGTTGTCTGTGACCGGGCGAAAAAACCTTTCCAAACCAAACCTTCATATCATGACCGCTAACCGGTTCACACAGCCTACGTTGTTGTCACGTCATAGTCAACATAGCTACTAGAAGTAACGCGTTAGTAAATCCGCTACAATCATGCAGTACAGTGTACAATAAGAAAGCAGTTTAGCAGTTACTCCGGCAGGCCCTGGTGGCAATAAATGAATAAAACCAAAAGCTTACCTTGCCTTGGAAGAGTTCCAGTGTTGGATAGCCGTAGCCAGCTAGCTAACATAGCATCCCTCTCTGTTTGAGCTGGGTGTTTGAGTAGGCTAAACTAGCTAGCTGCATTCGCTAGCTAAGTAAAAAAATAAATAATAATAATACAACCAAATATAGCTCTCTCTCTCTCTCTCTCTCTCTCTCTCTCTCTCTCTCTCTCTCTCTCTCTCTCGCTCTCACATTCTCTCTCTCTCTCTCTCTCTCTTGCTTCTCCTTAATTTTGGAAGAAATGTATTTGTTCAAAACTGTTCAACTATTGTCTTTCTCTCTCTTTGAGTCAACTACTCACCACATTTTATGCACTGCAGTGCTAGCTAGCTGTAGCTTATGCTTTCAGTACTAGATTCATTCTCTGATCTTTTGATTGGGTGGACAACATGTTAGTTCATGCTGCAGGAGCTCTGATAGGTTGGAGGACGTCCTCCGGAAGTTGTCATAATTACTGTGGAAGTCTGTGGAAGGGGGTGAGAACCATGAGCCTCCTAGGTTTTGTATTGAAGTCAATGTACTCAGAGGAGGATAAAAGCTAGCTGTCCTCCGGCTACACCATGGTGCTACGCTACAGAGTGCTGCTGAGGCTACTGTAGACCTTCATTGCAAAACAGTGTGTTTTAATCAATTATTTGGTGACGTGAATATATTTAGTATAGTTTTATCTAAAAAAGATAACTCCCCTTCCTCCTCTGAGGAGCCTCCACTGACAAACACACACACACAAACACACATACTGACCTTTGAACTTTGACCTTTCCTCCCAGACTGTGAGGGCTCAGCAGAGCCTCTCAGCTCAGATGAGGACAGTTCTGACCTAGAGGACGAAGAGGAGGACGAGGAGGAGGAGGAGGAGGAGGAGGAGAGGAAGATGGAAGTGTCTAGTATGGACGAGGCGATGAGGAAAGTCTCTGACCCACTAGATGACAGTCACCATGAGGCCTTCCTTAAACAGCACTTTGAAACACTGGCTGAGCCCAGCAATATGGGTAAGAGAGGACACAAGCACACACTCAAATTTTGTACATAGAGGTGACATTTTACCCATAAACTGTTGTATGGGAACGTTAAAATAATTTGACTCCTCCCCAGCAGAGCGCAGCAGAGCTTTCAGTAGCAGTATGTCAGCACCATTCCTGGCCAGAAGCTCAAACAACAGGTATTGGGACAAACAAGGGATCCTTAAAGGGATACTGCGATATTCTGGCATTTTCTTACTTACCCAGAGTCAGATGAACTCGTGGATACCATTTTTATGTCTCTGCGTGCAGTATGAAGGAAGTTAGAGGTAGATTCGTGAGCCAATGCTAACTAGCATTAGCGCAATGACAGGTACAGTAAAATACGCTGTATCACATTAAGACTTTATGACACATACTTCTTGAAGCCCATTTCTACTTTCACATGTACGCAACACCAACAACGCTTTTTTCATTGTCTAGAGTTGCGTTCACCCTGCCTAGTACAGAACTGTACACTGTAACCAGGTGATGTTCTACCAAGGTCCATGAGAGGGAGCAGAGGCCTTTGATGTCCAAGGTGAGACCCCTGATAGAGGGGGCACAGGGGAAGGGCCACGAAGACAGGGAGAGGACCATGTCCCCAGGGAGAGGACCATGTCCCCAGGGAGAGGACCATGTCCCCAGGGAGAGGACCATGTCCCCAGGGAGAAGGCAGAAGGGGAGAAAGTGAGTAGCTATAGAGAGGATACAAGACTCTTTACACAGGTTATTTGTTTTGTTGTAAAAAATTTATAATATATATTTCTAAAGCATTATACAGAGGAAATGTGATTGATTGCTTGATTGACTGAATTTATTGGATAATTAAAAGTAGTAAGCTGCTCCACCCGGATACAACATTACATACACACAAAATGATCAGGAATAAAATCACAATAAAGGCTTATTTCCATTGTGGTCCTCATTTTTCAGCAAGATGACAGGTGGGCAAGACCGACCCTACACATGCACTCAATGCAATTAAAACAACAACAATAGCAATTTACAACAATTGATTGTTGAAGCTTCCCTCCCTGTGTCAGGCTGGAGGTGTGTGCTCCAGAGAGGGGCCCTGTGCTGCGCTCCCACCCCCAGAAGAAGAGGCCTCTTGGGGCTCACCTTTGGAGGATGTCAAGCCCCCTGGCCAGAGCTCCAGCCTTTCTGGACCGAGCAGCTGGACTACAGATGTCCCAGTCTGCACAGAACCTGGCCACAGAGGGTGAGTTGCTCAGTACCTCTGATGTTCAGTACAGCACACACAGTACATTCTACTACTGTAGGTAATAATAACCTAGCCTCAGAGGAGGAGTACAATAGCTTCACAAGACACATGATCTTGGAGGTGATATTTGTAAACACCTGTCTAACACTGACATTTAAAAAAAGATTACATTACATTGATTCTGTCTAATTGACAATAAGCAGTAAAATCATTGTACTTCTATCAAGCCAGTGTCTACTGTCTCACTGACTCTACTCCTGCTCTACTCTGCTAATCATGGCTACCCGGACTATTTGCACTGCCCCCCACCCCATATTTTTACGCTGCTGCTACTCTGTTAATTATTTATGCATAGTCACTTTAACTCTACCCACATGTACATATTACTTCAACTACCTCAACTAGCCGGTGCCCCCGCACATTGACTCTGCACCGATACCCCCCTGTATATATAGCCTCCCTACTGTTATTTTATTTAAATTCTACTCTTTTTTTCTCAACACTTTTTTGTTGTTGTTTTATTTTACTTTTTTTATTAAAAATAAATGCACTGTTGGTTAAGGGCTGTAAGTAAGCATTTCACTGTAATGTCTGCACCTGTTGTATTCGGCGCATGTGGCCAATACAATTTGATTTTATTTTATTTGAAATGGCACCCTTACAAATTCTCCATATAGTGCAGTATGTTTGGCTAAAAGAAAGTAGTACAATATTTGGTGAATGTGGTGTCGTTTGACACAGAGCCCCCTAATACAACAATGAAGTGCCATGAAACATTTATTTTCCATTCTTAGTGTTCCAGATCTGGAGGAGGCGGTGTGTAGAGAGCACCCCCTAGATTCTTTCCAGGCCTACACCTTGACCTCCGACCCCCAGGCAGGTCGGAATCAACGCCGACGCTCCTCTATCATCCTCACCGCCACTCTTCCTCTCCATTACTCTGGCTCTCCCTCCGCTCCACCCTTCTCTTTATGATAAGTGTCCGTGTGCTTTCTGGCCTGTCTGTCCATCTGTCTCTGTCCCTTCCTACTGTCACCACTGCTGCCTGAAAGGTGAGTCAGCTTAATGCCTTCTCACATCAACTACTTTCAAACCTTCCCTTTGACTATATGTATGTGTCTCTATGTCATGTGTCTCTGTGTCATGTGTCTCTGTGTCATGTGTCTCTGTGTCATGTGTCTCTGTGTCATGTG